TCCTGGCGAAGAAAAAGGGCATATGCCGGAATAGATAGCCATTCCGGGGTTGGTCCCCAAATAAGAAAGCCGGGAATACCCTCTTATCTCTCTTGATGCTCCGGGGTAACAGTCAAATATCCGACATTTCTGTTTGAGCCTGTTCCTCGGACTTCCCGATCAGCTGACACAATTGACAGCTCATGTAGGGCAAGGCACTGTGGAACTGGGGGGCCGCATACCTCAATGCGGGGAGACTTTTTCTAGTGGGCTCTTCTGCAGCTTGCTCGATACCACCCGAAAACGACAAGGTCGGTGCTGCGTTAGTGGCGAATATTTTGGTCTGTGGCTTTGGATCTAGCATGTCTCAACCGGAAGCCCCACGGAGTTTGCAGGGGTTGAAATAGGCGCTTAGAATCGACATTCCTTATTGGCCCAAATGAACAAAGATATGTCAAGTGATGGGGGCATCGCGTGATAGTAATAGTCATTATCTGGGGATGGCATTAATATATTATGTTATGTAAAAACGTGAATGGAGTGTTCAAACTGTGATATGATTTCCTGAAACCGGGGTAAATTGTGAGTACTTGGCCAATGGAAATGTGACAAGAGAATCTGGGGCTTGGAAGGCTTGAGAGGGACAAGCCCTGGAGGCTGAGCCGAGGCAGTAAGGCTTACACAGTGAGCTCCCGCGGGTTGACCGCCTCCAATATAAATGGCCAGCCACAAAGCCATACAAAGCCACAAATGCTCAATTATATCTACGGAGTACTCCGGGTTGACAATTTAATAATATGGCATTGTCACCTCATACGAAAAATACCCGTGGACTTCTTAGTAGCCATCCATATCTAATTTGCCGAAGTTTCTCCAAACTACGAAGCTTCCTAGCCTTATCGTGTCTCATGTATCCACCTAGGCTAGAACTGCACAATCCATGACCCCGGCAAGACGCATACAACCCGATCTGCATGGTATAGCTCCCATGGTTGATCAATATAGCTTAGACTTGCTGGTAAGATCTTTGTTTTGACATCTCGACTCGGGCATCTCGGAATGTCGGAATATCGCTGGGCGGAGATGGATTTTCCGATAGGCCGAGGCCGGCAATGCTGGGCTTGGAATAGATACCGAGGCCTGGTATTGGCCATAGCTACTCCGTAGTTGGAATTACAAAGGGCGTTGAATCAACATTCAGTAGCCCCGCTGTACACCGTACAGTGCCTGATATCGCCTTCCATAGCTATTTGGGGACATGAAGAACGTAAATCAATGGGCGGTGACCCCACTATACTTCGACCGGAGGCCGGACATGCAAAGGCAAAGTGGAGCTTTGAGCATGGGATTCCAAACTCAACATCTCTCACGGTAAATTGTTCGATGACGAATCCGGAGGAAATGAGAATATTTCATCACTCAGCCACTCAAAGTTAGTGAAGTAGTCCTCGTTGAACTGGAACTCTCCTTGTAGAGGAACCGCGTTCTGAAGAATACCCCCAGCGGAGTCCCGAGCGGGATCTGGTCCCATGATAGCACGCCCTGCGTCAAAGCCCGGAAGCATGTTCGTTCGGGACGGACCATCAACGGATTCCGCCCCTCGCATTTTGGCGCGCGTGAGAGGGCGTGCGTGAGGGTCATATTCATCACGCCACCACCAGACAGCATCCAATATCAGACTAAGAATCAGGCGACTGCGAATTCGAAGTGCGGTGTGATCCGAGCCATCCGATTTGCGGAATGCCTTGCTGCTATTCCAGAGTTGATTCAAGACCGTGATCATTTTAGCTGCTGTATCGCTTCTGTCGGTGGACATTTGCTTGGCTAAATTGATGGCGGCGAAGAAAGAGGCTTGGGCACGGCTTGTGTCTAGTCCGCTGGAGGCAAAATCGCTTTTGAGAATCCGCAACAGGGACATCGAAGCCAGCAGCAGACCAAAACATATTTGAACAGGTGCCATGAAGAGAGACCCCATACGATCCGCCAAGCCTTGAACATAGTCTATCAAGTTGCAAGCGGTGACGATAAGACGCGGAAGACATCCGCTAGAGACGAATGTTTGATTTTTGTAGAAATGGAAGCTTTGGATTGCCATACGGCAAAGGAGAAGGTGATGTCTCTCGTCGTCTGCAATAAGGAAAGAACCGTTAGCGGGGACACAATTACCGAGGAGATCCATATCAGAAACAAACCGACTACTGCCTGCAAAGCAATATCGTCTACCTCTGCCTCATACTTCCGCAGCAAAATGTCCAAAGCCAGCTCCTGATCCAAAGACATGGCCCGGACTCCATTTTCCAAAACTGCCTCGCTGCATTTCCCAACAACCTCCTGACATCTGAGTTTCTGAACTAGGTGTGGAGCAATCTTATCAAATAGCATCTGGCGTTGGACGGTATCCTGTGCTAAACTGACCAGATTCCGCGGGGAGTGTCCTTTGATCACACAAGACCTACAATGAATCAGCACGCTAATTCCACTGGGCCACACTTTGAAAGAAATACCCACCGTTGGTATACAAGGACACAATGGGCCCAGAGCTCTGAGCGTCGGACCATATCCAACTCTGACGATACCGGGATCTTGAATCGAGAAAATTCATGGCTTGACATCGGGATATGGAACCCGTTTTGCATCGCTACATGCAACAGCATTCCGCTTAGAGGAAATGTCACATCTGGACGATTCTCTTTGGGGAACGGCCATGTCAACAGGAGCAAAAGTCCCTGTATGGTGTACCACGGCGCGCATGTCGATAAGACCGACAGAAATGCCATTTCCGCGACCTCCTGGGCCAGCGCGGTGTGCAAGGTCGGGTTTCGGGAATATGACCGGCTGGAGACGCCAATGACAGCCCAAAACAGGAATGGAGACTGCGCGTAGTACACGTTCGGTTTCGTCTGCGCGTCAAGGATTGGGAGGAATGAGGCATAGTGGCGGAAGAATCTGAGAGATGTTAGAAACAGACTGACGAGAAGCTTCTGTAAATATCTACAATTGATATAGGTCGTCAATCTCGACACCTGTAACGGTAACGCTTTTCAGTGAACGTGGAATTGTGGGATCATTCCCTCCCATAATCGCACCCAGTGTGGAACCCACTGGTGCAAGATGATATTGGGGATAGGTCAGCGACAAATTCAAATCCTGCGGATCGTCTAGTGGAGCATCCGACTTCAATACAACCGGTACACCCAGCTCCGTTGGCGCTGTGGATAACGCAATCGGCACGGAATCGGGGTTCAACTGCTGGGAGGTCTGCAGTTGTTGGCGCCACTGCTCATTCTCGTGTTCCAATTCGATGTATCGGCTTTGGAGAAATGTATGTAAGAAGTGAATTCGTTCCGTCTTACTCGTTTTTGGGTTCTTACCGACGCTTGTGCTCTCTTGTGAAGCTGTCATCTATGGTGCACTCGAGATTGCGTTTGCGGCATCGGGTACAAGGTGCACTCTCATCCCGCCAGACATCGCATTTGGCCTACTAGAGTCAATAGGATTTTCATGAAGGCAAATTCATTAGTACCTTTTGCTGGCGGCACATGGTACACGCCTTCTTTCCTTTCTTGGGTAATCTGTGTATGGTTACGTTAGCATGCTTCTTTAGATGGAGAACCATAGATGCTCGTACACCTCCATTTCTGAGCTTTGGGCGAACACAATCTGGTATTGGGACCCCAGCCAACAAATAAAGCGGAAGGCGTGATTAAACTCCCTGTTTATTGTCTTCGTTTGGTTTTTTCGATGTTAGAACAGGGGAAAGACAGAGTTATAGCACTCAATCCCGGTAACGGGATGGTGGCGGGTTTGTGATTGGTCCAACGAGAAAGGATGGGGGCCTGAGGTCATGTGATTGTCACCCATTACTGCCTTTGTGCCTTAGGTGTCAACTGACGGTGTTCTGTGTCACGTGATCGCGGAACATGGACTTTCTCGAACCGAAGGTTGCCAAGGTCAATATGGGAAGTCAACAACTCAAATCTCCCTGGCGACCCTGCATTTCCCCCGTCTTATAGGAACCCCCCTCCCCTCTTATAAGAATGTACTGACACCAGCTGAGCTGCACTAATATTATTCAAGTCAAGTTTGTCACGCGAGAATGAAATCGATCGTCAGAAACGGGGTCCTGGAAGACACTGTAGCAAAACGAAACCTAACAACACAAGGCATAGCAAATAAAGCGTATGAGTCTCGTCACATTTGAGGCCGAGCAAAAAAAGAAGGACGGCCAAAAGGCGTCGTTGGCATTCCGTAGATTATCACTAGCTGAATATATATATCCACCACTTTCCTGATCGGGACGTAGCATGAAAAGTATTGTGAATATCCAGCACACTATAGTATAGTATATTGCTCGAACACGGCGTGGGACCCCAAGCAACAGTGTCGAAGCTAGCTTGATAGAGGACTTACGGTTTTGTAGTACGAAAATGCTGGAATCTACGCTGCTCAAGTAAAGGACAATTGTGATCTGCTAAGCGTAAGGAGGACTTACGTAGTTTAAGGAAGCTCCGCGGAAGGAATCATGTCCCTTTCTTGTTACATCCATGTTCTTGTTCAAATTAATAATTGTATGTTAAATCTTTGTTACAAGTCATAGGTTAAACTTTTTAACCAAGTGGGTTTAACAATGAGAGGTGTAGCTTCACACAGTATTGGCTTATGAAACCTTACACTCTAAAGGGCTAACCCACCAAACGGGAATATAGAGTAAAACCAAACATATATCGGGGATTGTAATCTAACAAATTACAAGACGCTTGGATTGACAATACGCTACCGTCTCATACACAAATGGTCTTGTAACAGTGACTATCATATGGCTCCAAAAAGCCCCTGTGTAAGTCATTTGCCAAAGGGAAACCTCAAAGACCCTGAACACGTTTGTGGAGCTTTGACGAGGGTACATTGCCGTGACCTGGACTCGTAGCCATATGTCTCACACCACCCAAAGCACCAAACTCAATAGAGCCAAGGGAGGCGTTCTCACACATGACAAGGGCCTAGTTCACTAGCATGCCATGTCACGCAACGTGGAACTCACCAGATCTCGTGGTTGGATATCCGGTTGTCGTTGTTCGGCCGGAGCGGTCGATGGTGACGAGGCATAGAAGCTGGCTCATCCTGAGGATTCTGATTTGACACCTTTCCTTCCTTTTTGAGTTGGTTGCGGTGGCACTGACAGGGGCAATCTGCAGGACATCCATGGAACCGTACTCAGAAGCTGCCCTACCCCATTGCGAATGAGCCAACCACCAAAACATGACCAGTCAATGAGACTCTAGCAATCCGTTCTGCCTTTTAGATCCCCAGATAATCTTGAATTAGTTGTACGAAGTGTCGATACCAGTTGATTTTACTCCATCGTTTCACGGGGTGATTTGGAATGATGTGGGGGTGTCTACCTCCAGGCGACATGGCAAATTCAGGATATCGCGCATCCCCCGCAAGTTCTGTTCGATCGAAGCGTCAGATATTCTGTTCAGGTCTGGATATACCCAACGCCCCCACCACTGAAGGGAGGAGGCAAAGTTCGATTGATATGCCCTCACCGTGACATCACTTGACCCTGAAGCCGAAGTATATAGTAGAACAAGAAGATGTGCGATCAAGCAAAATCTAAAGCATGTTATTTTTGTCATTCATTTGCGCGCAGTCATGAGTTTTGATATCCCTTCCGTCGCTGAAATCCAGCTTGCTGCCGAGAGGGGGCAGCGCATCACGCAGGATGATGTTTCGGCCATATCGCAGGCCGAGAGCGCGCTGACTGGACGTGGACCTTCTCGGGGTGGACCAGCTGGTGAGTCCGAATTATATTCTTATCTGCAAGCAAGGCATGACTGATCGAATATAGCAACGGCGCAAAGTCTTTCTATGCGGCAAAGAAATTTCGAAAATAAGGTCGCAGAGGTATCGCGAAAGCCATCAAGCGCAATTTCCCTAGAAGATGCAGAGGAAATTCAAGCAACAGAGGTCAGAGAATCCTGAAAATATACAGTAGTCAAATGACTAACGAGAGGTTCTCATAGGGACGTGCATTTAACCAACCACCCGGAGTCGGCTACATCTCCGCCCAGGTTCGGTCGATCGCCGATAGTAATGATGCATGGGGACTTACAGCTGCGGCTGATGTGCCGGCATACATCACTAAGGATGATGCCCGAGACGCGCAACATGCCGAAGCTTCTGTGTATGGCGGTCAGAATCCTCGGGGTGGAATGGCAGCTCAGATGCAGGTAAGTGGATACGCTGATCTTTGGCGCGATGGGAGCTGACATGTGCTTCTGCAGAGTGCAGCGGACAAGATTGATAATGCCCGACGAGGTAGTTATGGCAGCCATTAGCATTTTATACTGTAAAATAGTCATACCGCACATACCATACATATTGCAACAAAATTGAACATATGCATCCCCTTTGAGCATACCTTCCACTGATGTCATAAGAGATACAAAAATAGTAGGAAATATCCAAAGCTCCATTTTGAATTGGCCAATACATATCCCTGGGGCCATTATCTACGTGGGGATTTGGGGAGGCCACATATACCCTGACCCGCTATTCAGTTGTCCCTTGAATGGCCACGGAGGAGAGACAACCGCCAAGATATTCAACAAACTCTGTTCAATCCACGAGAGTTCGGCTTCTGGGACAGGCTGCATGAACTGACAAATATCTGGTCACCGGATCAGAACCCGAAGTGATGTTCAATGCTTTATTGTGTCGGCAACGATTGATCACAATGCAGACAATGCAGACTCACGCTTCTCCCTGCTTCAACTAAGAAGTCTAAAACTCACTATAATGGAGCTGGGATGGAATCAAAACTAGAGACCCACTATGAGCCGTGCTAACTAGCTGATCAATCCCTCCAGGTTTGGGCTGAAGGAATTGACCAATCACAATGTCTTCTTGGTGGCTCCCAAAACATTTTCGTTGTCGAGGCAGCTTGAATCACACACCTCGTGGCCATTAGACCCATTTCAACGCCTCTTGAATGTCCACATCCGGAAGTAGTAGATGTTCGCTCCAATCGGAGAGGGGAGGTCGAAGAATGGGCCGTCGCTGAATAAGCAGTCGAATCTCTGCAAGCAAGCTGATTTGTGGAGACCGATCAGCACTTCAAGTGATAGTCAAACATGAGTGGTGCGCTTAGCTGTGACTTGAATTGTTGGAGGGGTAAAAATGACTCCCAAGCCTTGCATGGAGCTCCCTAGTGGCGGGGCACCATAATTTGTCATTGTCTTGCAGCTTTGGGGCATATAAATCAGCACTAGCTAATTTGGAAGGATTTTGTATTTGGAATTGGAAGCCAAACTCGAACTGCTCGAGGTCGAATTGGTCGACTGAATTCGGTGGAGTTGCGTCGGGAAAAAGCCCAAAAACCCAGTGTGGCGATGACGTAACTAATCAGGTACTGGGTACTTGTTTCACCAGCATCAACCACGAAGAAATGGAAGTATTCGAGACTTGACTAATTAATGAAAAGACCAGTTCAGCTTTTCGTTCCATTGGAATATTATCTCCTTAAATACCCTTCCATCCCCCTCTCCAAAGGTCCCCAATATCAAGTACCTTGAAAGAATCAATCTATACAAAATGCCTCTCTCTGGACACTGTCTCTGCAAAGCTGTCACGTACACCGTGGACGTTGATGCCCCTTTACTCACTGCCTATGATCACTGCGATGACTGCCAACGTCAGAGTGGCTCGACCTACTGTGAGTTGCGCGAATACCTCCGGAGAGATCTAATTGTTGACCATGTTATAGCTCTCGTCGCTGTCGTCCCTAAGGACAAGCTGACTATTAAAGGCCCCATCAAGAGTTGGGCTGGCAAGGGTTCCTCCGGCCACGCCGTCCACCGTATCTTCTGCTCTGAGTGTGGTTCCCCCATCGCCCATGACCCCGATGCCGCCCCCGAGATCATTGCCATCAAGGCCGGCACTCTGGATACCGAGATTAAGAAGAACTTGAAGCCCGTGAGTGCCACAAGTCAGGGCTTGATTTAACCTTTAGTGGAGTGTGACTGACCCTTGTTCTACGTAGGACACCGAGATCTGGACCGTCAGCAAGCTTCCTTTCTGCCAGGAATCTCTGGCCCACCCATTCAAGAACATGCCGGAGTAAATGCTGGACTGGGAGATTTTAATGAAAAGCGAGCTTTTTATGTGTGCTTATAATGAGTGATAACGACGAATGCAATGATATAGTCTAATGTGGCTTTCATTAATGATCAATCAGAATGTTTACACCAGTTCCTTGTCGCAGACCAATCACATAGAGCAAGTTTGAAGCGAATAATACCCGAGGGACCTTTGTCGGCAAGGTGAGACAGCATACTTTGTGCCTTGGGTACATTATGTTTAGGGCCTCAGCGACAAATATTTGAACTTGACAAACAGGACTCCCTTGACTGAAGCATCCAGACAAGATTCCGAATTTGTATTGGAGTATTGTGCTTCAAAATGTCGACTGGTACTCTATTCATCCGCGACTCACGCACTAACGTGGATTACGAGGTTCCCATTACCCGAAATGCAATACGCGCGACCGACCTCCAACGTATCCAGGCGCCTTCGCTCAACAGTGATCGCGCAGACCAAGTTGCCCATGGATTGCGTGTTTATGATCCCGGGTTGCAAAACACTGCCGTGACACAATCAGCTATCGGTTTCTCGTGAGAACCTCACAAAGGTGCTTATAGTCTCTGGCTAATTGTTGTTCAGTGACCATGAGCACGGTCTACTTCTGTATCGAGGATATACCCTGGACCAACTCTGGGGATGCGACTTTGAAGAAATGTTCCATCTTCTGCTATGGGGGACATATCCTACAGCAACCCAATGCGAAGAGCTACGCCAGCGGCTGGCACAGTATATGCAAGAGGTCCCTAGCATCGTGCGCCAGACTATCTTTAATCTTCCGTATGATGACTTCCCTCGGTAATGTGTTTGCTATCTTGTGGTTCTAACTAGCATCTAAATACACAGAAAGGCGACCAGCCCACTGCCGCTGATTCTAGCCGGCCTTTCAGCCTACCTGGCCTGTATACCAGATGTGATCCCAGCAACCACAAATGCGACAATATACCAAACAGACATCAAACGGGCTGACCAAATCATTTTACAAACTGTTGCCGCCTATGCTGTTATCTTCGGAGCTGTACGATCCCACCGGTTAGGCATTCCCTGGAGATGTCCGTCTCTCCAACAAACCTACTACGAGAATCTATTCACGATGGCCGGTCTCATAGACCCATCAATAAACCGCCCAGACCCTACCCGCATACTCTGCTTCCGTCGCTTTGGCAACCTCAACGCTGAGCATGGAATGGCCCTAACAGTCTACTCGGCCCTAGTGACCGCCTCATCCCTGACTGACCCAGTGTCTTGTCTGATATCTGCTGTGGCCGCAGCCCACGGTCCCTTACACTTCGGCGCAACAGAGTCCGCCCAACGCGCTCTCCATAACATCGGGGAACCAAAGAACGTCCCAGCCTTCCTTGAAGAAATAAAATCCGGAAAGCGAAAATTATTCGGCTACGGTCATCGCACTTATAAGGGAGTGGACCCACGTGTGCGTCCCATCCAAAGTATCCTGAAGGATTTGTCCCATGTTCATCAACCGCTACTTAAAGTCGCCGAGGCGATCGAGGAAGCTGCGTCGAAAGACGAGTACTTTAGTACACGGGGCGTGTATCCCAATGCGGACTTTTACGGTAACTTCGTGTTTACTGGAATGTAAGTGCGGTCGTGACATGCGTACTGTGACCACAGTTTCCAATACAATGATTTAGTGGATTTGAGCCTGACCTTATTCCCGCGGCAATGCTTGCACATCGCATTATGGGTATTATGGCACACTGGAGAGAGTATATGGGTAAGACAATTCACTGGAGGCTTCCTAACTTGGCTGACAGGCTATAGTCACTCGTGGCAAGTTATTCCGACCTACTCATCTATATACGGGTCACGCAGAGCTAACTTCGGACCCCAGGCCGAAGATATAGGAGGTTGAAAATGTACCCAGGAAGTGCTTATCTAAATTGATGTTGTTAGCTGCTTTTTCTTGTGAAAACGAGTGAAATATCTGTAGTAAGAAATATCTCGAGAAGTCAGATCCTTGCTCGCTGTAAAATCGTATTGAATACATTGAACAACAGTTGGGATTTCACAGAAACTTAGTGATATTGGGTTCACGGTTGATTTAACCAAAAGGACCGAGCCTATTTATTCTCCATCAAGCCGACAAGGAATTCAGAAAGTTTTGTCTGGCCTTCAACAGTCAATCAACATGAGCAATCAAGATCTCCAGCAACAAATGTCACAGCAGTACGATGAGGTCAATGAAGAAACCCCTTTGCTGCCTCCTGATCCTAGCACCGAGCCATATTCCGTGTTCACATCAACACAGAAACGCCTCATTATTCTGATAGCGGCACTGGCTTCGAGCTTTTCACCTCTATCCGCCAATATTTACTACCCGGCATTGAACTCCATCGCCAAAGATTTGCGAGTCAGTCCATCTCAAATCAATCTGACCATTACGACATACATGGTATGTTAAATGAGATTCTACAAATTCTGCTCGAATATACTGACATCCCTGACTTTGAAGATATGCCAAGGCCTAGCTCCAATGCTGACAGGCTCGTTGGCGGACCAGGCTGGTCGTAGGCCCGCATACATCCTTTGCTTCGTGATATACATATTCGGAAACATCGCTCTCGCTCTACAACACAGCTTTCCAGCACTCTTAGCTCTCCGTGCCGTTCAAAGTTGTGGGAGTAGCGGAACCGTGGCCCTTGCATCCGCAGTAGTAGCCGACATTATCACATCTGCTGAACGAGGTATGTACATGGGGTTTGCCTCTCTGGGAAATATTCTTGCTCCATCCATCGGGCCGATTCTTGGGGGTGTTTTGAGTAAGTATCTAGGCTGGCAAGCAATATTCTGGCTCCTTGCTATAGCTGCTGGTACTTTCTTCATGCCGTTACTGTTCTTTTTCCCCGAAACATGCCGTGGAATCGTTGGAAATGGGTCGACTCCTGTAGTCGGATGGAACCGAACCATCTGGAGTTATTTACGCACCACCGCCGCAGTCACCATACCTGCATCGAGTGTCCCGAGGAGTCGTGTGAAAGTTCCTAGCCCATGCTCAACCCTCTGTATGCTTTCCCACCGACCTGTGGGACTGGTGCTTTTGGCAAATGGAATTGTGTTCGGCAGTTACTACGCCGTCACATCTGGAATCCCCGCACTATTCCATGAAATATATCATCTGGATGACTTGGGTATTGGACTATGCTTCATTCCTGCAGGCTTGGGGTCGTTGTTCAGTGCAACTGCCAATGGGGTATTAGTTGACTGGATATATCGGCGGACTGGACGAAACGCCGGTCAGACGGTACACAAGAACCAGAAACAGGACATCATTGAATTTCCCATCGAACAAGCAAGGTTGCAGATTGGCCTGCCAATGACAGTAGGTTGCTCTGAGACATTCTTGTACTTGACCCGTTCTATTAGTTGACCTTCATTTCCCCCTTTTAGATACTTGCAGCTGTCTCAATAGTCGCCTATGGAGTACTGATGCCATTCAAGCCACCACTCCTGGTTGCGCTTATTGTGGTTTTTATAATTTGTTTTTGTATTACGGCGGCATACAACGTGATGAATATTCTGATCGTCGACTTGTACTACGAAACACCTGCTACCGCGATGGCTGCTAACAACCTTGTGCGCTGCTTCCTGGGCGCTGGTGCTGCAGCCGTGGTCAACCCTCTGATCAAGCGGATTGGTGTGCAATGGACATACTATTTTGTATCGGGTGCAGTGGCTCTAGTCACTCCGATTCTGGGGATTGTTTATCTTCAGGGCTGGGAATGGCGGAAGAAACAAGCCGAGACTGCTGCACAACTGCGAATTGTACACGCAAGACCATAGTACCATCTCGGGCACGGGGAACTATAAATTGAATCACAAAGAATCAAACAGCATTGATCTAGTTCTCAAATTTTGATTGATATGATGCAGTCGAATTTTGCTCTCGGCTGATTCCACAATAAGACAATATGATCTCACTAGCTACACTCCTCTTTGGTGTTCTAACCGAAATAATCCAGATCTTCCCATTAACCCCTGGTCAGCAACTGCAAATACGGTATCCTGGGAGCCAATGGATCAATCCCGGCATGGAATTAGACATTCGAGGTACGTGAATAGCCAAGGCAATAAATGGTACACATTTACATCCGCCCAGACACCACCATGATCCCAGAGATCAGCAGCATGAATCTCCGATGCAACCAGAAATACATGATTCTCGTCATCGATCTTGACGCCATCTTACCAGGAACTGCTATCCAATCAGTCATTTTACACTGGTACCAACCAAATCTCACAATGGATTGCACAAAGCCAGCACCTCCTTCCAAACTCGTCCCCGCCAAAGACCACGAGGACCATAACTCCACAGCCTCGTACATAGCTCCTCGTGCACCACCAAATACTCACCACCGTTACGTCTATCTCCTCTTTGTACAGCCCCCAGCGTATCAATTTCCGGAGTGCTTCTCACATGTGTTCCCTGAGACTGTTAGCGCCCGCGCCGGATTCGATATCAGGGAGTTTGTAAAGGCCGCAGGGTTGGAGCCTCCTATTGCGATGAACTATTTCATTGGTAGACATGAACCTAGTGAGGGCGAGACAACCACGATTCCTCAGAGTGCGACGACGACCTCGTTCCGTTCCGTGGATTGTCCCACGAGGACGGCCGACATGGTGTCATGAGCTAGGGGACTGCGTGGGGGAAATGGAGACTGTGGTTGGTTTCTATTCTTATGCAGTAGGGTTCATGGAGACTGGGAAATATGATATTTGTGTGTTACGCGATTTTAGGAATATGCGTTGTTGGAATGTTGATTTTAATTGAATATCCTGCCAATTAATACTTCACAGGTGTTCCAAATGTGTTCTCAGATTCAAAATTCTGAAATTTGAAGAAGGAAAAACCGAAAGTTTATGTACATGTCGTGATGAATGTATATTGTAGGGTTGAGGTGGATTCGGAAATGTGATTCTCAGCAGGCTTTGCTCATACTATTTGCGGGGGCCATTCTGGGATATCATGTTTGGTATGATATTGGAGCGGTCCTCATGTTAAAGAGGTGACGACATATGGTATACCCCCTGACAATCTGAGGGCTTTTTTATCTGGATCCAGTAGTGACCGGGCAGGGGACTACAGGGACCAGTCGAGGCTATTCTGGTAGAGAGGATCATAGATATGTTTATGAGGCAAATTTCTGTGTTAGAAAGTTCCAGGGGACCACTTAAGGAAATAATACTAAGCTCTTTCAACTAATCAGCAGCGCGTGTCCCATAAAAATCGTGCGAATAAGGGTAAATTCGGACTAGGTGTAATCGCCGTGGCACTGGCTCATCCTTTCTGGCGCTTGGCTTTTAGATTACCTTTGAGGTGATATTATAAAACCTGGCGCTATACAATGTGGGGTTTGGGTAGTGATCAATTCCAGTGAATATTGAGAACAAGCTACACCTCAAACATTAGAAGTGTCGAATTGACTTCGGCTAACGCCCGTAGCAGATAGCAGGTACAACATGAACGGTACAGCACAAACCTCAATCTAAACAAGTATGCTCTCAACAAAAGCTCATTCATTTATCCATGCATTCCCTCCCTCGCAATCATTTCACGAAGCTTCGGCTCAAAAATCAAATCATTGTGACCATCCCGAGCAACCACACTGTCACCTTACGCCGGTGGCATTGGAAGTTGCCAATGGCATCATAGTCAGGAAATTAGATGACGTCGAATAGCCCCAAGTCAAGGGCAGGAAAGGTAAAGCAATTTGCATAGCGTATCGAAGAATTGTTGCTAGGTCGATGGTTGGTCTAATGAGATAATCATATTAGAGATAACAAATGCAATTCTTCAGACAGGAATGACGCACCAATTGTTGTCTATGGATAAGCATCGCCAGAGAACTGTCGTACTAGGCGAATAGATACTCCGGTTGGGAACAGCATAGAGAGAAGTGTCGACAGATTGATTGATGGATGCCACTGGTATGGAGAGCTTCGCTCCCAACTGCCAGATATTGTAGTTTGGATTCATGTATGCTGTCTAACGATACCCTGAAATTTCCATCTGATTTTTGTTCGATTCGTCATCAACTGTAATAGGATGTTGCTCGAGAACGGAAACAGCTGTTTTTATGTGCAACAACGGGCTGGGGTCTGGCATAATGAAGCATACGAGCTCCATGAAATGCAAATACCATACGACGGCATTACTGAAATCAATTAGCATTCAAAAATATGCTGAAGTATACTGCACCACATAGATTGTTCACCGAGGGATGATGAGATAAGGTTGGTGATCGTTGAATAGTGAAGACCGGCACAGACTACATGTGCGGTACTCGCACGCAGGTCCCAAGGAGGGTAGGACAAAACTATTTGTCAGTAGTAAAGTTCACGATCCATGTAACTTTTCGTGCTTTCGGCAATTGCTATCAAGGGAGCTCATCATGGTGTGAGTAAACAGTGTCCCCTTTCGTCATGAATGCAGGAGTGCAATCAAACGTGGTCTTGTGTTGTTGCACAGTAGAGATTCTCAACTGAGTGGGGGAAGTGATCAGGAGATGGACTATAAATATCTCGAATTGACCCAAGCCTAGAGAGAATCAGACTTGTTGATCGTGGAGTTGAAGACAACTACCTTTTCGACAAACTTTCCACGATTTCTATATGGCTGAGACCTCTACCAAGAGGTCTCCCCAGTCTAACGGTCAACTACTTCCCAATCAAAAAATGCGCACAACCTGCAACGCCTGCCAGCAAGCGAAGATACGATGCAGCCACACTTACCCGTGCGAACGTTGCGAGAGTCACGGGTATGAGTGTGTCTATTCGATCTCGCAGCCGTTGGGCCGGCCTGCCAAGAAGAAGATGACTCGGCCGGCAGCGGCGGCGGCAGGCGTAAAGACGCGCAGGGGGAGGCGGAGGTAATTGGCCGTCCGACTCGGCGACGTGCGGGGAGGGCACAGAGGGTGCGCAGGGTTCCGAGTCGGATCCCGAGTCCAAGTACAGCATCCGGCTCGGGTCCTGGGTCAGGGGAAGGGTCGCACAGGAGCGACTCCAGCGCCGGCACTGAAGTCACACCACCGGAGGAAGACTATCAGTGGCCGAGTTTCACAGAGTTGTTCTCGGACGTTCCAGGTGAGCACAGACCTAGTTCACGGGTATATAGGTGTCGATAGATGACCGTTGGAATGTGCAGAAAACCACACGAATGGAGACCGGATTCAGGACCAGGATTTCGTCAGCACAAACGAGGCCAATAGCCACGTCGATCCAGGATTCACCATTACCAGCCTGGAAAGCTCGTATGAACGAGCTGACGGATTCGAAAGTTTTGGGGGCCCCATTTTCCTGAGCCGCGTATTGACTATTCCACACAGTGTTGTTCTCCCCAGATCGGTTTGATGGTCGACGAGCCTCCCATTGAAGCTGCGCCGGGCACCCAGTCTGCGTCACTCTTTCAGGGTGGTGCAATATACCCCTTTAGCCTCGCACCGGACGCAATTCAGGTCTCCGGAACAGTGCAGAGTCCTGCTAGAATCATGGAATTGCCCTCCAATGAAATCTGGCAGGAACACATCGACACTGACTCCAGTCAACCTCTCCCGCCAGGAGGGATTAACCTCGAGGCACTGTCGGAAGATGCTTCCTCCCTTCACTGCAGTTGCTATGCCCAAGCGTTCAGTGAAGTCGTTCGATCCGACGAGGCCGAAAGGGCAAAAACAGCATTGCACCACCTAGAAAGGGTGCAGCAACAGGGAGTGGTCATCCTTCAATGTCAAGTATGCTTTGCTTCAAACGCCAGGGCTAACATTCTTACCTTATTAGTCATGGCGATTGAGAAGGCGACACGGGCGTTGAAGGTGAGGGCCAAATTGGCCACTACCTCGGTGCAGGGGGGATCTATTCCGTCTGGGGGGAGGAGGACATCAGCCAGATGCGCCGTTGTCTGTCTCATCTGTCAATCATTGTCCGTTTCATCAATCAAGATCTCCAGTGTGCCTCACCTTCAAGGTGGCAGCTAGTAATGGCCGACGAGACAGATCGGCGGCTGCAGTCGATTACTCGAATATTTGAGTGATCGCTGGCTGAAAAAGTGTGTGTATAGTAGACGGTAGACGCGGAAGAGAACCTGAGAGCTAGTGAGATTTTCCAAGTTATCACGCACTCACATCAGTAGTATGAAGCGATAGACGAGTGTTGATGATGTAGATAGTTTCATCGACGCTATATAGCTCGTTCTTGTAGGAAATCCAATTCAAGTTTGCATCTTGGGACTGGAATTCGCCGACGGATCCCGATCCCTGTAAATTGAAGTCAAAAGAGACTGCCATTCGCTTAATCGCCGATCGGGGAGATACCCTTGAATGGTGATTAAGTCCCCGGTGAATTATAGAATCATGAGAAAGCCTGGCCAGTCATCTTAGTCAGAGCAGAGAATGCCAAAATCCGGGAATTGGTAGAGTTGCACTGGCAAAGGGCATACTGTCAGCTGGCTCGTACAGAAAACTTTGTGTTAGAGAGGGTTTTCCACGACTGACCTTTTCGGGCGCTTTTAGAGTGAAACATTCTCAAAGAGAGGCAAGCAGGTATCTCGGATGTAGATATTTAGTGGAAGGAATAGTTTCTGGCGGTGACTGAGGTCATTTTGATTCTTGTCTACAGGTCAAGTACTGGCAGTTGGAGGTTTATTGCTGCTGAATGAATTTCATGACACGATGTCCTAACGAGGATGTATCATCGCTATTCCGTAGAATATGTCGAAAAGGAGCAGGTTACGGGAGGGAAAAGTACAAAGTTTCGGTAGATTGCCGGAAACCTGGAAACACCGCTTCGATGACAGTCTCTCGAGGATCATCACACATCGGATTTTTTCAACACGATGATGCTAAAGACCAAACGAAGCAAATGCCGATTTAGTTGCTAAGAGCTCTGCACACATCGAACAAAGTCCGAGGATCAAGGGTCGGCGTAGTTCTAGAATCTTGTCTGTCGTAGAATGATATAATTTGCTCGTTGGGGAATGAGAGAAGGGTCTTAGATCCCCGTTGGACAGTCCCTGCCATCATTGAGATTGCACAGCAGGCCACAGGTCTGATGTAGACCCATAAATGCAGACTTCCATTGGTCTAAAAGCCTTGTCGGCGCCGAATGAGGACAAGATATGCAACTCCGATCTGACGTGAGCTATCACGCACAATATTTCGAATTAGCCTAGGAGGCTTGAGCTACTCCTGGTGACGATTACACAAATTAGTTCGAAAATGTACGATGAATTCAATATTATGATGTCAAGAAATATATTGTTATTAGGACTTTAACAATACTTACATGAAGGATCGTGAATGTGGGCGAAAGTAGTACACACCCACTGCCGAAATACCTTTTCAAACCCGCACCTCATGCGCGTCCGCGCTTGTTTGCTCGTAGAGAGGAGATCGTGTTTATGATGGCTTAGTTGGGCCAAGGCTTTTCAAAGATGCCAGTCCACTGCGCCCAGCCGATGATCTTGCCGGCCATAGCGCGCTTGATATCCTTCTTGCTGGCCTTCTCGGGAGCCTTGAATTTCAGTGACTCACTGAGAGCGATAATGGTGAAGACGTAGCGATGTTTTCCGTGACCGAGGGGTGCACCAGCACCGACATACGGCAATCCAAGCATGTTGGGCACAAATCGCCAACCAGCGACGGTCATGCGGCAGATCTTGGCGTGTTCGTCCGGCTTGACGTTGGCCGCTTCAGCCTTGGTAGTCGTGGCAGGAATTGCCCAGAGGAGACCATGGTGGAAGACGAGGAATGGGATGGGTGGGTCGAGATCTTCACAGAGGAGTACATACTCCTTGACTTCTTCGCGACTGTTTGGAGCGGTCCAGCGTAGCTCAGGAAGGCAGCCCTTGCCATCATCGGCCTTGCAAGTACAGTGGAGAGGTAGCTTGGAGCCCGACGGGCCGACGTCGGGTGCTTCGAGGGTCATGTTCGGCTCGGGAAGGTCTTTGAAGGCCGGACAATGGATGATCTGACCAGAATCATGGCCACGGATTGGGTACAGCAACCGACCGAGAATGAATTCGAGATAATGGAGAACCATGGTGGATAGAGCTGATGGATCTGCGCATGCGAGTTCTTTTTGTGTGAAGAAGGAAGAACAAAGGTCGCGATGTTGACGTTCGGAGAAGGGCAGGTGCGGCCCGATTGGGAAGCTGCCCTGTACCGGCCCGGAATCGGCAAGTGCGACTGGCCCTCATTTTTCGATGTGCTTTTTTCTGCGAAGTTCTGATGTTCGCAGTTGGATACGTCCCATGCGTATATGCATTTAAGCATTTCAGCTCTAGGGTTTAATGCGTGAGCTCGGTTTGTGGGACGAACAGGTGTTCCTGCCAATGCTAATGCTTTCCTCTCTTCCAATCTGTGGGGAGTAATCAGGACCAAGCACGTGCTTTGACCTCAGTTTGGTACGCTGAACTACCGGAAGGCTCCCAAGGAGTAAGCTATGACTGTCTTGTGACAGTATTTGTGTTGAGGTGTTCACTCGGTGCATGATGTTGTGCTTTCGAACCGAGCGTGCAACTGAGACAGAACCATAGCAGAAGCTCTATTGGCGCGAAGGGACAATAAAAAATGACATCAATCGAGATGTTATTCCAGAGGCAAAATCACAGCGGTTCAGTGATCCCAGCTACGACGCAACGACGCTCGCATAACCTGTGAACTCCCCGGTTTCCTTGGCGATGATTGAAATCTCATCTTCAGCCAAGGGGGCAAAGGTTTCCTTCTACAGGGGTGCCCAACCTAATTTTCGAAGCCGATTCGCCCTATTTCGTGCATTTGAACCGACCACCATCCCCGAATAATCCCCGAACAAGTCGCCCCACTGTTTCTCCGGAATGGACCTCGGCGTAGATTGATCAATGTGTCCCATCTCCTTCAGTATACGGCCAATCTCAGCAGCGCATTCACCCCAAGACAACTCTTGGCCGTTTTCACAAAAGAAGTATGGATTTTGCGCAACCTCGGTGACAGGTGCACGCTCCATCCAATGCAGCAAAACCATATATCCCCTAGCAAGGTCTTTGACATGAATCTGGTTCCAAACGGCGAGACCATTCCCGATCTGACCGGCATAGCCATGTTTAATAAAGTACCGAATGAGCGTCGGTAATTGGATCGAGAGACGGTTCTCCCTAGTGGTCACACCGTAGATAAGGGGCGGAATCATAATGGCCATCTTGGCGTAGGGGCCCAGTTCTTGGCCTGCCCGGATGATGGCTAGGTCAATTATTCGATGCGATGCAGAATCAGGGTGGGCATTGATCTTTCCAGGCTGCTCATCGTCAAATATTGTATCACTTTTATACTCTCCTTGGGCCGAATCGGAGAACAAGGTTGCTCCGCTGTTGTGGATGTAGATTGTTTTCAGTCCTTGCGCCGCTCGGTGTCTGATGCCATCGATGATTGCTTGGACAGATGGCAAGTGGTCTGCAGTTGCGGTGTGGAAAACGATGTCACTAACCGCAACCTGGTTCTTGATCACTGTTGCGTCGTCCAGATTACCCACCACTGTTTCGATACCCAAATTGGCGTAATCTATAACGGCTGATTCGCGACAAACAAGGGTTGTTACTTTGTAGTTCGATATGAGGAGAAGGTCTATGATCTCTCCGCCGATAAAACCAGGACCAAGAAGGAAGACAGTCGCAGGCATGCTGAGGTATGACAGGTAAATTAATCGCGAATATGGTGCACTTGTCTAGTTACCAATAGGTGACTGCAGGTTGACGTCGCGATTATTAAGACCTCGCCTCAAACCTCCGTAGAGGATATCCATGGATCGGACTTGATTTTAAACTATACCAAGATAAATCATAAAAAGGTAGACTTTAATCTAAAACATATATCATTCTCAAAGACATGGGTTCTACTATCTAACAACCGAATAGGTTGTTATAGTAAAGTTTTGACTTTATAGCAAACAATTAGACCTCCGCAAAGCCCACAAAGCCCAAGGCCCAACCCAAGGCCCAACCCAACCCCACGAATGGGCTGGGCTTTGGGCCTATCTTCGGGCCCACTGGTGGGCTATGGGCCCGGGGTGAAAGCCCACCGGCCCGTAATGGGGGCCCAAAGCCCATAATATTCTGAAAAACGTGACTTTTTTAATTACCTTATGTTTAGATCCTGTTTTTAGCCCTTAGATCAGGGTAATATTTTATTAGTTTGATTAATATATTATTAATAATCAGCTAAATTCATATATTACGTTTGAACACGCGAAAAAATGCGTTGTTTAGACAAGTCTTGAATTATAGAGGTTCACTTAGAAAGTGGTGGTACTCCCGTGTAATTCTCAAATATATATCTATCATAACTTTAGTATTAACCTTTTTTCTAACATCCACTAGTTAGATTTTGTTTAAAATTAGAGTATATATTTATACAGCTATTATAATTCTAACTTCTAAGTTTAAACCCTATATAACTAGTAGAAGGGTCAGAATACAGCGATTACAAGATGCTAATTGACCTAAATGGGCTTTGCGGAGGTCTACAAACAATATTAGCTGGCGGGTTATGCTTTGTGATGTCTCTGCATTGATCTTTCATTCTGCTGCTGACATCATCCAAGATACGGCTGTAGGTCTGGCTGTTCTTGAAGACTTTCTCAAGTTCCTCGGCGGTCTTGGGGGTGGACGCTTAGATTTCCGTTTTTTCAGATGTTTTCTGCAGGCCAAACTACTTTTTTGCTCCTGGGATCTCCCGCAATACTGCCGGTTCAGCCCGATTTGACAAATAATATTGGCAAAAAGAAGAACGACGGCTGCATGATTCGAACATGCGCCTCCGAAGAGAATTGATTTCTAGTCAATCGCCTTAGACCACTCGGCCAAACCGCCATTTGAATGAGAGTTTCAAGGAATTTGTGTAATATGACCAAATTACCCAACCGCCTAACTATAAATGAGTGCAAGTTGGAGTAGCTAATACCTTCCCTCATTAGGCTCCAGAAGTATAGGAAGACGATCTTTTCGATTGGAACATAAAGCAAACATAAAAGCCAATGTGTATAATTCACTCATGGCGATGCCAGGCCCAAGTTATGAGTTATACTGCGCGAAATATATTTTGGATATCGGATGTTTTCATTCTAGCTACTATGGATAGAATTTGAAAGCAGATACTATATAGCTCATCTGGTATGTTTATAGGGCTATTTAGATATTCCAAAATGGGTGTAGATCGTGCCGATCCTATGACATCAGCAGCAATGCTGTTGGGGCCCCAGCCCTGGAGCTTCCGCCCGCATCCGTCGATTTGTACCTGGGTTCCTGAATTTCTGGATTGGGGGAACTTCACCAACCTCCTCCATGTTATCCTATATATCTGCTGCTTTCCAGTCCCCGTCGCCAGACGAAGGCGTACAGCAGCGACCTCCACGGTATGCCGGTGAAGATACCACCCCAACGAGCCGCCGGGAGATCTTAGGATGGTATTCGTATGGAATTGCGGCTGAAGTGTTCGCGGTCTGTGGCGTAGGTTCGTGAAGACATATTCACAACGAAATACTCAAAATACTTATCCCCACTAGGATCTTTTCTACCCCTCACCTTGGAACAGTTAGCCCGTGAGCGCGGCACCCTACAGACGAGCCGTCTTCCCTGTATCAGACCGTCGGCAGGGAATAGCACACATGATGCTGAAAATGGCCAATGTGTTGTCCCTGTATTTGGCCTCGAGATCAACACAGCTAGCTTCGCCATGTACACCTTCTCACTGGCAGTGCTTATCCAGGCGCTAACACTAATATCGTTCAGCGCACTGGCGGATTACGGTATGCTTCCAGAATGTCGGACTGAGAATTTGTAGTGTGAAAAAGGAACATGAGTTAACGTCAGCTTTGTCTGGTTGGATGTTTAGAGAATAACCGCAAGACATTGCTTATGGTATTCGGATTCACCGGTGCGCTCGCCAGCATGCTGTTCGTCTTCATTGCACCACCGATCTTCGTTCTCGGATCGATATTGGTCGTCGTCGGTGTAACCTGTCTTGGTTCATCCTTCGTTGTGCTGAACTCTTATCTGCCCGTCCTTGTCGCCAACGATCCATCTCTGCAAGATAGGAACGCCGCGGAATTGTCGAGCTTCGACCGAGACGGAGGTAACTCGGAATGGAATGCATGGGGTAACGATGATGCCGACGATGATAGCTTAGACGGACTTCAGCCACCGGGCGAGCGACAGAGTTCACTAGAAGGTGGAATGGGATCCAAGGCCCCGCCCTCGTCCTCGCCGGAGCTGCAGCTGTCCACCAAAATCTCCTCCAGAGGCATCGGTCTTGGATATTGTGCCGCGGTATTTGTGCAAATCCTCAGCATTATCATGCTGATCACATTATCCAAGACCTCGCTTGCAAAAGCGTCCCCCAGTCTTCCCATGCGCTTTGTACTACTTTTGGTCGGCATTTGGTGGGGCGCATTTACCCTGGTCACCCGTAATTTGCTCAAGACACGACCGGGGCCTCGGCTGGATACAGTCTCCACCAAAGGTGCCGGAAGATGGCGCGCCTGGCTGCGTCTGGTCGGCTTTGCCTGGAAATCCCTCTGGAAAACCATCAAAGTAGCGATGAAACTGCGCGAAGTCCTCATCTTTCTTGTAGCATGGTTCCTACTCTCGGATGCGATGGCCACGGTCTCTGGGACGGCGATTCTCTTCGCACGCACAGAACTCAAACTAAGCACACCCCTGATCGGACTCCTCTCGATTACTGCGACGGTGTCCGGCATGACGGGCGCATTTCTATGGCCACACGTATCTCGGTACTTCGGCCTGCAGCCTAATCACACCATCATCCTGTGCATTGCCCTGTTTGAGCTGATACCACTTTACGGCTTGCTTGCTTACATCCCCTTCATCAAAAACTGGGGTGTATTCGGGTTACAGCAGCCGTGGGAGATCTTCCCACTAGCCATCGTGCACGGAGTAGTCTCAGGCGGACTAGCATCATACTGCCGGTCATTCTTCGGACTCTTAATTCCACCTGGTAGTGAGGCTGCATTTTACGCTCTTTATGCTGCTACGGACAAGGGGAGCTCATTCATAGGACCGGCAATTGTGGGTGTACTTGTCGATGCGACCGGCCAAGTTCGGAGTGGCTTTTTCTTTATTGCTGTTATAATCATTCTCCCGATTCCCCTCGTTTGGATGGTTAATGCCGACAAGGGTCGGCGAGAAGGTTTGGCTATGGCTGAAACCCTGGGCAAGTCACACGGTGGGCCCGCTGAGTATGCCCAGGAAGCTGAAGGGCTTCTGGCTCGCGAGTAGACATATACTCCAACAAAGGCTGAGGAGGCTGAGTTACGACATATAGATTATGAACAATAAAAGTCGGGCGCGTATGCGACCTTGTCATGTTTTCTTTTTGGCTTTTTTGCATGCCTTTTCAGATATTGTTTTTTTTTTTTGTGTCTTGATGGTTTCCTCCCCTTCTTGGTTTATAGCTAGGAAGGTGAAAAGGTGGTAAAACGACTACACTCTACACACCACTTTTCTACCAGATTTCAGGGAATGAATAGACTGGAAAAGAAGGTTTAGACCCTTGAGCAAACAGAGTCATTATTGGCGAGCATTTTAAGGGTTTTTTATGTTTGAAAGTGTCTCAATTTCAGGGTCTAAAATAGACATGGGTTTTCCACAATTTGGCCCCAAGTCAAGCCTTTTAGTAGGCAGTGAGAGAGACACCATGTGGAGATATGAGTTCAATTTCCAATTAAACCACTCCATTGAGAAACGAGTGCTATGCACGCTCAATTTTAAACCAATTAAATAGGTCTAAATCCTCTAGCTTGACCGCTAAGTGGATTATACAGGGTCTTGGCCGATCACTCCCGATGCTTGGTTTGTTCGTTTGTTGCAGCCTAGAGAGACCCCGATGTGCCGTGTCTTATTCTTCGAACAGAACTCGGAGAAATTACCAGAGCTTATAGTCGGGAATGTCTAAAACGAGGCACCGGGTCCAAAGGCAAAAATATAAAGATTCACACGTTTTCTGTGGAAAAATATGGCAAATCCCAACGGTTCTTCTGTACTCTTTACCATCATAATCTTCACAATGATCAACAGTGCTATTTTATCCTCTCTATTCATACTCGCCAGTGCACAGCCATGGAAACGAGGTATCTTTATCGAGCCTGTCACAGACTGCTCCCAACTCCCATCCTACAACAACCACACAAAGATGGCCGGACCTTGGACACTCAAGGTCGATAGCTGCTACAATGGAACTGCCACTCGGGGGTTATGCACTATCGAGAGCTTCGAGTCTGGTCAGGATATTACACGACAGCGAGCAGACAGGCCTAATACGATCGAGCATGGATTTGTAAGTTCTCACCCTATGGATACAGTTCATCCACGAATATATATATCTACCACTTCAGAAAAACAAAATGACTTACGGAAATTTAGATCACGATCGTGAGCGATAAGGACAACATCAAAACAACCCTCCGCTGCAACGGCGCCCTAAACAGAATCGAAGCATACGTCCTCTCCGGTCTCGCCCCGGGCACCCTAGACTGGCACGCCGTCGGGATAGACCACCACCCCAGCACGGGGCAACTGGTCTGGGGCAAACCAAAAGCCGTGCCTGTACAGGCGTACAGACATTACCACCGCGGTAAACCCGTCGAAGGACTGTTTCTTGGATCGAATAATCAGACGAATTGGACGATGCACCCGTCGGGGAGGGATGTGAGCATCACGGATATGAAGCCGTTCTGGGTTATGCGATTGATGATTCCGGAGACGAGTATTCGGGAAAATGAGTTTAGAACGTTGATTCGGATTGATGGGAGCTGAATTTGTGTTTCTTTTGGCTCATTGCATCGGTGTGGTTGTTGTGTTTCCTGTTAATATACCCCCGTTAATGCATACTGGTGTTGCTACATCTACCTTGTACACCATCCTAGTAAAAGGTCCTCAATGCTGCCTATTTTCCTACATCCCACTAAATAATAAAAGGAAATGGCATTATCATTCTATATACACTGGGGCTGGATGGTAGCCTTCTTTTGGGTTATTATCTCTATGTTCCTTTGTACAAAAGCATCTACAGATATATTTATTCTGACCATGCACATGATAACGTGATTAAGGATGTTTATTCGCTTCTAACCCTGTTTTCAGTTATGTTGATCTGCTGTATTCTCCCCAACTTCCGTTGGGGATTTGTCGAAGATTTCTCAAAGTAAATTGGTCATAGCTGCACAGTGTGACATAGCAATAGTTGGACTGTCACACCAGATCTTGCATGTTCCTGGAGTTCATAACTTCCACGTCGGTGATCGGAGGTTGCAATCTCTGCCATCCGTACCCACGGAAAGGGAACTGACAGAGCTGTCCTGTAAATTCTTGTTCACTCTCCAGGGACAGTCTCTCCGTCAATTAAGGGCTGATGGCCAGCCGAGAGACACCTCCGGATAAGGAATGGGAAGGGTCGGATTGGTAAGAAAGTGACAAGGCCAAGTGCTAGGGGAGGGGTCATTCCAAGCTCTTTGACTGCCCTACAGCATAACCATCCTTTGAGTGCTTGTTGTTGGCCCTTACCTCCATGGGTCAGGCATCTTCACGCTCAGATTTCTCTCCATTTGGTCCGTTCTCTCGACTGGAGAGAGATAAACACCATTCGCAACTCCAGTGTCTTGCCCAGTACATTATAATCGAGTCGTCCGGCGTAACTACCAGTTATCGCTGTGCTTCATCAAGATATCGAAAACATTTGGCCACACGAACCGGTCATAAGTGGTTAGACCTGGCACTGCTAAAACGGTAGAATGTTAATACAAAGATGGAACAAAAAGGAAGCTTGTGGACTGACGTGGTCCACTCGATGTCTTCAGACAAAGCCTCCATCTATCTGCCCATCTGTGATGTAGGCTGGGCTTGATCTCACATATAGCCTGGGATTTGTGAGGTGAAATGATTGCCCTCACCAGCAGACTTTATTCGGAAGGTCCTCCAGCCCCTTGGACATGGTTTGTTGATGTCGAGGGGTTGGAGATATCAGCGTGGTGGTTGCCATGTTGGGGATTGTCGTGGAGTGCGCTAGTGCCAAGGGTTAAGAACCAGACGGGCTAGCTGCTAGCCGAAAAGGCCGAGCCGGATATCGGGGTGCTGAAGTCGGACCTTGCATTTAGGCAAGTGATCTACCGCACAGAGAGATTGACACGCCACTGGGCGATATTAAGTTCACCTTTTTGAGCCTGAGGTTGCCCATAGGTGACCCATGATGACCAGTAAGGGGAATCACGCGTGTTATACCAGAAGGCAGAGGTTGCTGGGGTGAGCTAGGAGAGAAAGAGAGTTCAAGTATCTTTTGAATTGTCTTTTTGATGGTCTTCTCAGTGGTCTTCTCAGATATTCTGGAAAGCGGTCGTGCCTTAGAAGCCTTAGGCAGATAAATTAGACCCATTTGGGGTTACAATTCATCGACTGTTCTTTCCTCTATTTCTCTCTCTCTCTATCGGATTCAGCCTATTTACACTTGCCACAACCCCAGACATCGGAGCTCGTGGTTCTGGAGAAAGCTCTATCAACACCGGTATTACCCGTGGAAGCCCACTTGGTTTGGATTAACTGGCGTGATTGGCCAGAAAGCCGGGTATCCCGCACGTGAGCTGCCCAGATCGAGAGATTTAAAGATTCCATACAAGAGGTGTTATACTGGAGCGAGTGTGGATAACCCCTTGGCGATCGAGAAGCACATGTGGGCAATTAAATTGAATGCGTGAGATCCCTGTCCAAAGGAAGGCCAAGGGTCCCAGCAAATTCACGAAAACCCCAGATTCCCCAGAAGAGACAACCGTTCCAATATCGGGAATCCGGGGTGGTTGCCACGTTACCGATGGGTCAAGGTCAACAGCCCGGCCCGAAACGCCGTGACAGAATATCTTCAAGGCACCTGACATATTATTCTTCCAATGGGGGAAAAAGATTTGACCGGGTTCTTGATTTTTTATGGGCAATTCTTCCGAAATGCAGGTTCGGCCATTCTCTCCGTTACAGGAAGGGAATAGCTTCATTTCCCACATTCTGGGGGCGTTGGCGCTAACCAGCTCGGACCAATCACATCGCGCTATCATATTCCTCCAACCTCGCTTCCCCAGACACTAACATCGCTGGCGGCTGAATTGATCCTGCAATTCCCACCTGGCAATATTCTTGTTGCCGATAGGTGCAATTTGTTACACCATCATGCCCGACATTCCAGAGTTGGTCTAGACTAGTTGGCCAGCATGTTGTACGACTCAGAGATGTCTCTCGACACTCTATTCAGAATAACCAATTAGCCTGAATACCCAGTGGGCTGATGATAGTCTGGGGATCAGGTGCCGAATTGACCTTTCTTTTCTCCACAACCCCGGATGCACGCTAATGCAAATGTGGATCCTAGCTGTTCGGATGTCGCGAGAATTAACGTATATAGACGACAATCCCCCCTGTCTGAGACTTAGTGGGATCTTGTATCACAATCATCAATCGCCATCTCTCTTTATCCAACATGGCGTCCACAGCTGATACTGTACTTGCGGTGGAGAAGTCCGCCGCCAACCATGTCGAAGATACTCTGGGCCACGGCGCCCTCAGCGAGGCTAAACAGGCTAGTGATGATGAGCACACGCAGACACTGATGCAGGCCTTGCGGGAGAACCGCAAGGCTGTTATGTGGTCCGTCTTGATCTCCGTGTCCATTATCATGGAGGGATATGATACCATCCTGATGGGCAACTTCTTCGCCTACCCCTCGTTCAATAAAAAGTACGGAGAGGATTTTGGTGGTGATATCGGATGGCAGGTATCTGCACCTTGGCAGACAGGCCTCAGCATGGCCAGTACGGTTGGATGTATCTTCGGTCAGTTCTCCTGTCAATTGGCCCCAGGGCAAGCACTGACATGATCAACAGGTGGTATCTTGAACGGATATATGGCGTCCAAGTACGGTTACCGAATTGTTATGATCGTCGCCCTTGCCGCCCTCACAGCCTTGATCTTTATCACATTCTTCGCCAACTCCGCAGGAGTCCTCCTCGCCGGCCAGGTCCTTTGCGGACTCTCATGGGGAGTGTTCGCCACTGTCGGACCCGCATACGCCTCTGAAGTATGCCCCACCGTGCTGCGCGGTTACCTCACTATCTACGTCAACTTGTGCTGGGCCATCGGCCAGTTGATCGCCTCCGGTGTCCTCTACGGACTCGTCGACCGAACAGACCAATGGGGCTACCGTATCCCCTTCGGTCTGCAGTGGATTTGGCCCGTTCCTTTGATCGTGATTGCTTGGCTCGCGCCCGAGAGTCCCTGGTGGCTTGTGCGTAAGGATCGCCTAGATGATGCGAAGCGCAGCATCCGCCGACTTGGCGGCAGCAAGACCGAAGACCAGATCAACGGACAACTCGCCATGATGCTTCACACGATCAAGCTCGAATCCGAGGTTGAGGCAGGCACCACCTACTACGACTGCTTCAAGGGAGTTGATTTGCGCCGCACCGAGATTTGCTGCATGGCCTTTGTCGGCCAGATTCTGTCCGGTAGTACATTCGCCTACTCGCCTACCTATTTCTTCATTAACGCCGGCCTGGACGTGAACAACTCCTTCCAGCTCGGTGTCGGATGCACTGCCATTGCCTTTGTCGGAACCTGTCTCTCCTGGTGGCTGATTACCGGATTCGGCCGTCGCACGCTTTACGTCTACGGCCAGGGTATCCTCTGCTCGATCCTCTTCCTGATTGGAATCCTCGACGTGTCTTCCAGCGCGAACGGCATCAAGTGGGCTCAAGCCGGACTCTGCTTCGCCTGGCTCTTGACCTACTCCCTGACTGTTGGACCCATCGCCTACGCCATTGTCTCGGAGACCTCATCCATGCGTCTGCGTCCTCTGACTGTCTGCGTCGCCCGCACAGCCTACCAGATCATCAACGTCGTGTCACAAGTTCTGGAGCCGTACTTCATGAACCCCACAGCGTGGAACGCCTCCGGCAAGACTGGATTTTTCTGGGGTGCTACCGCCCTCATTGCCTTCCTCTGGGCATTCTTCCGTCTCCCTGAGGCCAAGGGCCGCACCTACGCTGAGCTGGACGTCCTGTTCGTCCAGAAGGTCAATGCGCGCAAGTTCTCGAAGACTGTTGTCGATGTCTATGCGGTCCAAAATCATGAGTCCCAGGAGGGCCTTGTGCGTGAAAAGACCGAGGAGACCAAGCAGTGAAATTAATAAATAGTGATATTACCCAGGTGGTTGTGTATGATGCCATGTGCGAATTGACTTAGCATGTTTCCGCAAATAGTGAATTTAATATCCAGTGGACTTTTATTTCAATATGCTTGAAAGTGATACAGAACTCGACCTTTGATAGTGGGGCTCTATGGAACATGCAATTACCTGCATTAGCTCTAAAAAGGAAAATATTGTACATCGCAGGATCAGGATCGGCAATATCAACACATCTTGGCGATATGGACAAGGCTAGTCCTTCGCGCGACTGAAGATAGGCAGAATAGGCGAAATCGGTTACCTTTGCTTTTGCCACATGTATTTAGCCTATGGAAATTGAAATTCATATTCAGCAGGAGTCGACTTTGCCGTCAAATAGATAATTGTCAGACATCCCACGGCAGTGGCAATATTGGTCTGGACCATCTAGGGAGGGACGTAAAATATAACTTGCCTCATATTAGAAATGTGCAAAGATCGTCACGTTTAAACGGTACATTGCGATCGACTGTTGATCCCTCAACGGCTGAGCACACGGGCTAGACCTGCATAAGAAACCAGCACGTTTTGAACGTGGGCTGAATAGTCATAAATTTATACAGAGGATTATAAATGATTAATAATAAGTATGCAAAGGCCTAGACCTGTCATGAATTGCGCACAGACACGCGAACAGACCTCTCGACTTTCCACCCGGAAGCACCGAGGTCACTGCTATACGGAGCCAAGTCCTCCTCACTGGAATCAGGTAGTTTCTGATGCGCGCTGGAGATAGTCGTCGTAACACCGTGGTATTCGTCACTCCCTCTGCCGGTCCAGAGCTGGCGTCCGTCGTCAGGAGAGATCTGCTTCGATGGCGTGGAGCGGTGGAAGCCGCCGGCGACGTTGTTGGATAGTGGAAACGAGCTTGGTGTGCGACTTAGACCATTTGAGGAGCCATCGCGGAGAAAGCGGACTAATGGACGGAGGGTTGTTAGACAGCCTGCTGTGATGCCGATTCCCGCTTCGACGTTGGACCAGATGGAGATTTGGTAAGTTGCGTCTGTTTGTTGTTAGTGGAAAAGTGTGGATTGAAGTGGGGCTTCGAAATCGAGAAACAAAGGGTGCGTACATAGGAATTCTCTATCTTTGTAGTAGTGAATGAAAGGGATGCGAATAATAACCGCAGCGCTCGCACTGCAGAGATATTAGCATTGCCACCAAATAAATTAAAGCCAAGCTTCGGAATCACGAACATGCAACCAATACCCAAAATAGCGACCATGGCACCCTTAGTGCGGCGATTCATGCGCAAATTCCAGATCAACGCCACCGGAAGCAATCCAATAGTCAAGTCTGTAATAGCGGCGCCGACACTATACAAGTAGGCGATAGCGATGAGGGGATTTTTATCGATACACGAGCCATGGGCATTTGGCTGCGCATTGTTCCAGAAGTAGTTGACGGGTGTGCATTGGAACATGGTGAAGAAGAAAAAAATGATGCCAACGACAGTGGCGAGAGACATAGCGGCGTAGAGGATGTATGCGTGGACGCGAGAGACGGTGATGCGGAGGAGGGCGATGATAATGGAGACTTTTGCGGCGACGCAGGTTAATACGTAGAAAAGTTGGGCTATCCACCAGCACTGGAAGTATGTGAGTTTGGGTTCGGGATGGTAGGGCTGGGATCGTACCATCATTGCGCGGTGGAAGTCGTCTGGGTGGTGGGTAAAATAAGCCAATTTCCTCCCGAGTCCGTATTTACAACCAACGATTCCACAGATGGCGAAGACTGTGTTGAAGGCCTGCATGTGAAGTGGTATTAGGTGTTGTGCGCGGTGTGGGAGGTGCAGGTTGGCTCACCATAGCTATAACCATAGTTCCATCATCCCACCCCCAAGCACGAACGACGCGTGTGCGAACGAAACATCTTAGGATAACACTCAACAAGGAGATAGCGAGGAAGACGGAAGTAACGATCAGAATTGCCTTGTTTCGGCTGTCGTCGAAGTCGTCCGCCTCAAGAGCTTCAATTTTAGCATCCATAATGAACAGGCGGAGGGCATGGGGATCCCATCTGCAGTTATAGAAAGCGAAGACCCAAAAGAACGACACAAAATGGCAAAGTCCCTCGTGATTATATTTGACGATCCCCGGCTATTTTAACTTCAATAAATCTTGACCTTGTAGGCTCGAGACCTCTTAAGTTTTGTACCAAAAGTCCCATAGTGGGCAGGGCTTGTAAAATATGGGAGCCCCTGCAGGCATGGATCATTGAGTAATATCTGGTCTAGTGGGGGCATATGGGTATTGGATCTTCGGATCGAGACTAATTTCGATAGATCAGCACACGAGATGACCTAAATGGGCCGACATGTTGGGGTTAGAGTACATAGCGGAGTCTATTTGCTCTATTGAAATTTGAGTGACTCCAACGGGGAATCTGATATTTACGGCTCTCAAAGAATCGGAGATTATGGGCAGATGTTGGTACAATGTTCCGTACCGAGTTTTGCCACGGCTCCTCTCCTTGGCATATCGGCCTCGTCCTGTAATAGTCGAATATAACCGTGAAAATAGTTTCAGGCGAACGGAGTAGCCACATTAGTCCTCGAATACGAATTTGTGACATCTAGAAGCTTTTGTAGGGTTTTGATTGGAGACCACTTTTTACCTTATTGATCCGTGGTGAGGGGGGCCCCGAGGCGCCGAGGTCCATCGGGTCCTTTGAATTTCACCTCAAAACTCGGTATAAAAATATTATTGAGGGTTCTCCAACTTTCTAATGAGACGGAAAGGTCATTGATGCAACTGGCATTGAAGCGGAGACACTGTGCAGGGGAAAATTGGGCTGATTAATCCAGTAGGGCTGGAATGCTTCAACCCTAAAGATATCAACATACGAAACATAACCCATGCTCAACTAGTACTAAGGGAGAAATATATTCAAGACTGAAAAGGACATTCAAAATTCCCTAGAAAATGGACCAGTGGCGGTTGAAGCCATCCTCCCCCTTTGAAAAGATGCGCCCTTGAGCCAATGATCTACGTTAATCTACGTTAGATGTTTGATTCAAACCTAAAAACATGAAAATTTTGTTGGGAACCGATTTTGATGCTTGAGGATGATCTCCAAAATCAACCCGCGGTCTATTTACACTAAGCCACAGCCCAGGCCCCGGGGGTCAATTGTTCGTATTCGGTACACTTCCGTCGAGCCCTAACTCACGTGCTGGAATTTTGGTTACGTTATATAGGTCTAACCACGAATCAGGTGACGAAATGACAGATTAAAATATCGGTATAAAATATGCTCAATAGCCCTGTATACAATATCTGGTGGGTTGTACATGACAAGGATAATTCTTTTAGTTACGGTTCCTGACAAACAAATGCAATATCCGTTTCCCGAGGCGGCTATTCGCTTACCCCAGTGGGGCAACTTCACTCTCACGTTCCCTACTGATTGAGTCCATTCCATCGTTGATCCCTCAAGCAGAGGCAGATGGACTAGGCATAACACTACCGGTACCACTAGGAGCAGAACCAGCAGCACCGGAAGGAGCACCACCACCGCTACCACCACCGAACGAGCTATCAGTATTCTGGTATCCACCATCAGCATCGTGGAAAGCAGCAATACTATAGTACGAGTCATCAGTGTAATCAGCGGTAGTGTTGATACCAATCTGAATCCAAGCGAACAATCCATCGTCCAAGCCCTCACCGAGGTAAATGTACTCGGGGAAGGGATCGTAAGCGCTATCAGCCTGCTCGATACTCCACGTATCCTCGGCGTTGGTGGTGACGCCCTGCGTGTTGGTGTTGTAGGGGTATGTATCCTCGACGGCAGTGCGGAGGACCTCGTTCCAGAAGAGCTGGCCAATGTGGGCGACGCTACCGGTGTCGGCCTTGAGGGTCTTGTTGGGGAGGAGGGTTGCATTTAGGTGGGTGAGGAGGTGGGTGTGTGTTGCTCGCCCTTCGTAGTGGCCTGGGACGATGGTTTCGAAGGTTGCGACGCCGTCGCGGTCCGTCTGCTGGATACCGCGCAGGTAGGTTGAGTCCCAGCCGTCTGCGGCGTAGTTGCCTGACTCGGAGATTCCACTGTGGTGAGGGTGATTAGCTATGTGAATTGGCTTTAGGGGAAAAATTTGCTGCGACGGCATTGGAAACATACCTGTACACACCGGTGGCATTGGCTTGCCAGATATCAACCACCGCGCCAGGCACAGGCTTGCAGGTGTTCACGTCGATGTACTGCACCTCGAGGAAAACATCCACACCATCCGAGTACAGCTCCTCCTTGACTTTCTGACGCACGACCTCACCCCAGACATAGTAGGGACCGTCGGTAACAGTGGGTGACAGAACAAAGCTAGTGTTGGCACCGAAGACAACTGACTCCGGAGTCGCGAGGCTGTAGTCCAGAATGCCAGTACGGTTGTGGTCAATAGCCTCCCACTTCTCCAGAGCAGCAAGGTCGCGGCGCCATTTCTGGGAAGCTTGGTGCGTGTCAGCTGCTGTCTTATAGGCCACACAATCAAGAACCCGACTTACCGGCAGTAATCCCGTGCTTCTGGCGGAGTTTCTGAACGGTGCGCGAGCGACGGGAAACGCTACGCTTGTTCAACTCGCGGGCATGGAAAGTGCTCTCGCATCCACCGAGGGAACGCTTAGCGTGGGCGGCCATGGAATTCCGGGTATGGATCTCACGTTTGATGGCGTGAAGATCGTGCTTCTCCCCGGGGTGGGCAATGGCAGGAGCCGCCAGGCATGCAGCCGCAATAGCGAGGAATTTGGATAGCTGGACCATTTTGAAGGTATGATTGTGTTGATGTTTCTGAAGGACTGGACCTCATGGCCGCGACAGCCTGGATTTATACATCGTCGCGATACTCATCGTCCCCGGACGCGTGTCGTTCTGAAAAACACGGCATCTTCAAACAGCGGGATTGCTGGTGTTCCTCAGTGATCAATGGCTTAGACCTGAATGGTAGCAAGTTCAGGCCATCTCTGACACAAGCTTGCTTGGCGCCGCGTCAACAGTCGATGAATGCTGGTCGTGGGCAATCTGCGCCCCACGAGGTTATTCAATTTAGGGAAGATCGTCCAGTTTGAGCGAATCACGGTTCTTCAATTGGAAAGAAATTCTGTAGAAGGATTTCCTAATATAGCCCTGAGGACCTCGGGATTGCGCCTCGAAGGTGATGGCTGATTAAGCGGAGTGGCGGGTTCCGACCTTCGCCTTGGGGGGGGGAGTTAGGGTTTTAAATAGGGGCAATCTTTCCTTGCTTTGTTAACCTTTCCTTGGGCTTGGTCAGGTAGATGCTGTATCTCATTGTAGGGGAATCACCCTCGTGGCATATATCTTCAGCCAGTGCTGCGCGTTGAGAAAATATCATCACTAACACAATGTCTGCCTGGCTTGGCGCAACGACGCCTGTGGAGCTAATATAATTCGAAAATGAAGCTTAAATTTGCAGGGATGATTATCTACTAACTGAATTGGTCGCTGCAGTTGCCAAATGTGAATAACGAACAGAGCATGTGATACTGGAGGCGATGACCTCCCAATATGTACTCATTTAGTCTACCTTGTGGCGTGTGCTGCATATATCCGTATATCTACTTTGGCCAATCCTAGTAGGTTTGTCTGCTTTCATCTTGAATTATACATTAAATGATTCCCGCGTAACTCCATGAATCTTAACTAAATACCCAGCCGAGTGGAACCCATATACATATCGTGCATGTTCCCTCACTCTTTTGGTTGTTCTTCAGCATTCAGTGGCGACGTAGGACCACCAATTCCGAAAGAAGTGGTCTATTACACCTCGGTCATATCCGGGGACTGGTCCTTTTTGTCCGAGGACTGGAGGTTTTCACTGCTAGAACTAGGGTCAAACATGGACTCACGCATGAATGGACTTTTCCGACGGATGGCTGGCCCCTTGAGTACCAGCACGACAGGCACAACCGATAGGGCAAGTCCGATAAAGCCAAGCAACGACCCAGCCCAGCCATATCCCAGGTTCTGGAAAAGCTGGTAAGACGCAAGAGGCAGGAAAGCACCGAAAGTATTGCGCCCCAAGGAAGCAGCTGACAACGCCGAAGCAGCGTATTTCTCGTATGCGTCAGTCAAATAATTGACCACGGCCATGTAGATAGAGTAGATTCCCACGCCAGTACAACCAATTCCTAGCGCCGGCACGATCCAAGAGACGGATCCGTCCCCGACACTAGCCCAGCCGTACCAGAAGAGTCCACCCGCGAACAACAGACTGCCAGGTATAGAGGTATACAGCCTGGCTTCTGGGATTGGTTTACCCGGACGCTCAGTATTCCGGCTCGCGGACTTGAGGTAGATCCAATCCTGGATAGGGTTCAACACTGTGCCAATCACAGCTCCAACCGAGATGGCTAGTTGAACTAGACCGGTCTGCATGGTAGTCCATCCGTAGTTATGTGTAAAGGTCTGGGCGACACTCGAGAAGAAGAGGAAGAGAATTCCCCATGCGAAGCTGACCCACAGGGTAAAGAAAATAACCACAGGTTCGGTGAGGAGCATTCGCGTAGGACGCTCGAAAGAAATCTGAATCAGCTTCAAGACGCTGGTGGTGTCTAGATCGGCTTCGGCATAGATAGGACGGCCGGTCTCGTAGCGGAGCTTCTTGGCACGTCTCTTTAGGATCACATCTGCACGGGTCTCGCGAAGAATTAACCAGAAGATTGGAATTAGTCCTGCGTTGTAAATGATCTGAATGATGAAGATCCTGAGTCTTTATCAGCGGTGTCCCACATATCAGCAATATTTGAAACCAGAACTCACCATCTCCACGGGCTGCTTCTATGGATTTGTAGAATGGCTGATCCGATAAATGGACCTAGAGCAATTCCAACCACACTGGTAAATCCAAAAAGGGACATCGGTAAGCTTCGAGCTTTATCGCCGTACCAGACATCACTGATGCTACCACCGACAATGTTGATGGACACTGACGAGGCGCCACCGCCAAAGAATCGGGTAACAACAAGCGTGGCAAAGTTCTTCGCAAAGGCCGAAGGAAACAGCGACACTACTAGAATAAAATACGCAACAAAGTAGCCAGGCATGCGCCCGGATGATTCGGTCATTGGAACAAAGATCATGGGCCAGAATGCAGCGCCCATATTCCAAGAGGTTGTAGCCCATGCAAGATTTGGAAACGGCACATTTTGTACATGGAACCGATCTGCCATGTAATCATTGCCGGCGCCGTAAGATCCAGCCGGCAGGCCTGTCAGGATTGAACTGGAATGAGTCAGTATTGTTAGAGTCAAATGGGAAACGATCGATGGTACTGACATGAAACAAATAGTCAGAGTGAGTATCCATTTATATGTTTTGCTCCAATTGAATCTGAGTCGTCAGTAACGGCCTGCTAAAAAAAAAAAAAAAGTATCTTCTAGTGTCTTACGGATTCTCTGGGTCATCTGGGCCATTCCACGTGTGTATCTCGATGTCCGGGTTATCACGCAAAGGGTGACGTCCGACATGACCTATGTGACTGTCTCGATGGAAGAAGGAATGCAGTCTACAATATGGTCAGCCGAGTCCCAATTGCTATAGGCTATCCCGTTGTGCATACCTTGAGAAGAATGAATCTTTAAATCTGTTGTGGTGTAGCGAACTCACTGTGGACGATCGGTGTAAATGTTCATCTTGTTGGACTGGTTGGGTCGAAGGAATTCCTTCAGTTTGGTCTTCCATATTGGTAATGAATACGAAAAATGGTACTTGCTACATCACAGCCATGGAAGTGGCCGGGGGATTTCTTTTGTTCGATGGCATTGCTGAGTCGACGACTTTTGTCATGTCCGTCATCACTTTTTAGGGCTTTTGCCGGCAGACTTTCTTTCTACACTTTTAAGCTATAAACAACTCTTCCATGGACTGCCATGAAGGATTTCCATACGTTCACTGTGTTCGAACCTTGGGAAGCCGTGAAGTTGCCGTCGATTCTATACTCTTCCTTGGCGTAGATAAGTGGGGCGCCCCACGTCCAGAGCTCGGGAGCTCATATATTGTAGCTTGGACATGGAGGATTTACGATAGCAAAGAACCTTCTAGCATTACCTGGCAATTGCTTTGCGGCCTGGTATCGTAGATATCAAAGACAAATATTATTAAACAAGTTAGATCTGAGACTTGGGCTTCAGGTCATGATGTCACTGCCCCGCCATCCGGCTCCACTAGGAGCTCGGGATTGACAGAATTGAAGTCATTCGATGTGATTCGATCTTATTACTGGATATACTACTGCAAGGAACCTGATTGAGCTGGCTGCAGGAGGTCCCTGCCCGGATTGTTGATGTCAGTGCGATAACCCACCATGAAGTCATTGGAGGCGTCTAGACGTATATAAGCCACGCTCATGTCCTAATCCAACAATAATCCCACCACTCTCATATATTATCCGCAAACCCTTCAAAACAAACCTCTCTCCAAACTACCAAAACAACCACCATAATGCCTATCCCCGTCCCCAAAGAAAACCGCCTCCTCGACCTCCTTAGCCTCAAGGGCAAGGTTGTTGTCGTGACCGGAGCCTCCGGAGCCCGCGGCATGGGCATCGAAGCGGCCCGCGGCTGCGCCGAGATGGGTGCCGACCTGGCCATCACATACGCCTCCCGCCGCGAGGGCGGCGAGAAGAACGCCAAGGAACTCTCAGAAGAATACGGCGTCAAGGTCAAGCCCTACAAGTGCGACGTGGGCAACTGGGAGAGCGTGGAAACCCTCGTGAAGGACGTTATCAAGGACTTCGGCAAGATCGATGCCTTCATCGCCAACGCTGGCCGCACAGCCGACAGCGGTATCCTTGACGGGTCCGTCGAGGATTGGAACGAAGTCATCAACACCGATTTGACCGGTACCTTCCACTGCGCCAAGGCAGTTGGCGCTCACTTCAAGGAGCGTGGAACCGGCAGCTTTGTCATTACCTCTTCGATGTCCGGCCACATTGCCAACTTCCCCCAGGAACAAACCTCATACAACGTTGCCAAGGCAGGCACAATTCACCTTGCCCGCTCCCTGGCCAACGAATGGCGCGACTTTGCCCGCGTGAACAGCATTTCCCCCGGTTACATTGACACCGGGTTGTCTGATTTCGTTGCCAAGGATGTCCAGGACCTCTGGAACTCTATGATCCCCATGGGTCGCAATGGTGATGCCAAGGAACTTAAGGGTGCTTATGTTTACCTGGTCAGCGATGCCAGCACTTACATGACCGGTAACGATATGCTCATTGACGGTGGTTACACCGTGCGGTAAAGGATTATTTTTTGTACAATAAACGAATTACATGACTAGGTTACGATTAAATCGATACAATTCTGGACTCATTCCTGGACTCATTTTTGGACTTTCTATTTCTGTAATCGCCTGTTTAATGTATGACGTCATGGGGGGATCCAGACAAAAGTGGATTTGACAGGTTTGTTGTGTTTGCAATGTATTTGTCTTCCATTCGGCTGATCCCATCAAATAAACACAGATCGCATTATGAACACTTGAATTGATGTCTCACGCAGGACCCGCAATACCAGCCGTGATCGGAGCCTTCTCCACAAAGATGCCAGACCAAAACCAATCCTCCGCAGCCGCATCCGAGCCCCCATTATCGAGCCGCAACTCGCCGACATGCCAATCCGCGGAGTTAGTCGAAGTCGACGCGCTGACAGCGGGCACAACTTCTGTCAGGTCATCGGCCCCATTTGACGCCCACAATCCAACCGTCTTCGCGTCGAAATCAATGTCGTAGGCGAAGTTGTACCACGTTCCTGCTTCCAAATCAGTTTCCCAGTGCGAGACTCCACCGACGCACCAGCGGAGGGTGTTGTCATCGCCCGAAGTGCCGCTCATGGCGCCGTATTTAAGCTCTGTGAAATGACTCTGGTGGACATACTTGTTAGCTGTTGATTTCTTTGATGCTCTGGAACGGGGGAATGATACCTCGAAGAACCCGATCTGGTGCTCGAAGCCTGGATTCGGGGCATTCGTCTCTTCTGTCTTCAGGGAGAAATGATAGAACAGATGCCCGCTACCCAGATTTGCCTTGGTTTGGGGAATGATCTCGGATCGTTCCATGGTTTGTCCATTCCAGAACGACGTTCCATCCTGACTGTTATGAGCTTCTAGTCCACTTGAGCTTCGGATATGACCTACAATTGTGATCCGAATTCCCTGTTCATCGCTGGTACCGGCCGGATTCTTGTGGTCAGGTGAGAGACCTAGGTACTCTTCTGTGGGTGCAGACCCGTGAATATACCACTGCCAGGCGCCGACTTGGTTAGACCATGACCCTTCTTGTGTGTTAGCCTGGATCAACAGTACCTCTCGAGACTCCCTTACATTCGTCAAAGTCAGCAACAGTTGCTGATGCGTCGAATAACCCGCTCCACAGGACCTCACCGGCTTCAGCCACAATGGGGAGGGAGACGAGCCATGCAAGAGATCGCATTTTGGTCAGGTGGTTGTAGTATGCGTTATACTCGGTGATTCAGAAGTGTGATTGGGTTGGTTCTAACTCAGGATGACTCCATTGCGAAGGCTGTTATATACCCATACCCCAGGCAAGACACGCCGGATATAACACGGAGACTATGGAACCTATGAAACCACGGGTTGTTTGAAGTAACCCATCGACAATCGGCGATGTTTCCTTTGGATATCACGTCAGCCACTATCAAAAGCGCCTAGTTCGTGGTAACCCCGCTACAAACAGAGTAAACATCACGGTCCGCGTGCGTTGTCTGCATTTTCTTCAACATCGTACCCCGGATTGGCGCAATTGACTTCCCGCAAGTGATCGACAAGCGCCTCTCCAAATTAATCACGGAAATAAGGATGCTTACGATGAAACTCTGCAGCATAGCCTGAAACGGTGCTAAGTATGAGTGAGACGCCGGTCGCATCGGACCGAGATGCCAGGGCCAATCTACTCATTTACCCCACAATATCAATAGAAGAATAAAAATAATAAGCTGCCAAAATCCCAGGTTATGAGAAAAGTCGTTTTCACAAATTAAGCCTTTGGAGAATATCTTAAAAATACGACACCCGAAGAGAATATCTGAGAAGACCGCCGCAAAGACCATTGAACAGACATCACAAGGCATAAGCGGCTAACCATTTTTGTATGGCTTCATTTCATAACTCCAAAATGACCGCTCGCTCAAAGGACACGGTCGGGAATCCTATTTACATATCCCGATAAACCAGCAGGACCATCAATTCATAACTTCATTAATCGTTTACACCTTGGGCTTTTCAGCCATGGCATCATCACCACTTCCAACCTCCTTGGCATCGATGCCGTGCGCCTCGGCAACGTGCATGCGGGGAAGCGAGCGGGCAATGCGAGGCGGATCGAAGATACTGCGCGACTGCAAGAAGATCTCATCGATCTCCTCGAGGGTGCGTCCATTAGTCTCCGGGAAGAGGAAGTAGACAGTCGGCACGATAGCGGCGTTCAGCACGGCGAAGATAATATAATATTGCCAGTCGATGGTAGCGAAGCCAATGGGCGTCACCTCAGCGAGGAGGAAGTTGAACGTCCAGACAGCTGCAGCGGAGACGGCGTTGATAGATGCTCGGCACTGGAGAGGAGCTACCTCGGTGGCGTATAGGAATGTCAAGCCGGAGTAACCGACTGTGAAGATGAACACAAAGACGAAAAGGAACACCACAGCGCAGACCAAGCTGCCTGTATTATCGTGGACGGAAGTGGTGCCAGCTAGAATAGCCATCGAGACTGCCATCCCGGCAGCACTCCACAGCATAAGCACGCGACGACCGAGACGGTCGATTGTGAAGTAGGCCAGTAGGCCGCCCAGCGGCTGTGATAGGCACATAGCAGCAGCGAGGATACGAGACTGGATGGGATCGAGCTTCAGATATTGTTCGAAGATGGTCGTCGCATAGATGGTGATTAGATTGATTCCACACATTTGCTGGAACATCTGACCCATACAGGCGAGAACAGTGCGGTGGAACAGTCGCTGCTCGCCCATCGTGAGCATATCTTTCCACGAGCCCGTTCCGGAAAGTGCCAGTGAGGTCTCGATATCACGGATCTCGAGGGTGATTTGTTCCGACTGAGGATCAACGTCATCTAGCACTGCCATAATCTCCCGCGCCTCTTCGGTGCGACCTCTTTTTACCAGCCACCGGGGCGATTCGGGGAAGAGCATCACAAAGGCCATGACCATAAGCGAAAGGACAACCTGGAAGACCAAAGGGAAACGCCAGGAAACCGAGTTCGTCTTAACGAAGAAGAACCCAAAGTCCACCCAAAGAGAGAAGGCGATACCAGCGCCGATGAAGATACCGTCGGTTACTACATGCGCGCCACGTTTGTCGGGCTTGGAAATCTCGGCCTGCCAGACGGGTACTGTAGCGACGTACCCGCCGGTACCATATCCGAGGATAAGTCGTGCGACGATGAATTGTGGAAGGGAGAAGGATGTTGCCATCAAGATAGCGCCAATCATCGAGATGAAGGATGTGAACAGGATGACCTTCCGGCGGCCGAGCCTGTCACCAAATTGAATGCATGATAGCGAGCCAAATATTCCACCGACGGTGTACAGTGCGACTACCGTGCCTGCAGGAATATTACATGAGAAATGAGCCAAGCGGTGGAGACACCAATCGTTTGTGATTGATCTCTACCCGGGTATGGTGATTGGGCTTACCTTGAATAGTCGAGTTGTACGTCTTCTCTGCCTCGGTTGCAGTGAGAGTGTTCATTTGTGGGAAGGTCTCCACGAAGGATTCGAGGGTCAACAGACCCCCCATAACGCCTTGATTGTATCCATAAGTCACAAAGGCTGGACAGACAACCAACCACATGATAGCCCTATTCAGCGACGGCCCACGAAGGCCAAAATACGGCGCCATGGTGCAATATCGATATCGAAAAGAGACGAATTCAAGATCTAGAGCTCGGAACTCATGCCACACCAATTGCCCCGCCAATAAACCGATATGAGGTTGGATATAAACATGATATATACACCCATCTGAGTGTTGGACGGCGAACGCCGCTTACCGGACGATCTTGATAGTGGAACCGAGGCGTACGTGGGGCGGCGTACCCCGGAGCGATGAAGCGCAGATCCCATTGGCGACTAACTCTTCACGATGAGTGGAGCAAAAGTGCTCGAGAGCGATCAAATGGCAGGATTTTATTAGGTAAAAGTCTTGGTTTCCCCAGATTCCTTCATCGTGGGACGGGATGATGGACGATTCAGATTGCATAAGTTACCCCAGGAAGCTTGGTTGAACCCTTGGGCCTTGGTTTAAAGCCGGGGTAAGATGTACTCTCCATCAGCGGATTGGCCAGAGCTTGCAGTATGCATGTCTCGCTTTTATACGCGACGGTATGCTCCACATCGGACCTGGCCGATGGAGATTTCTGCAACTATTTGTGCCTCGGGTCACGATAACACGAAGTGCGTGTCATGCATATTTGTCTTTGATGGATGTTTGAAGTCGTGGTCATCGTAATTGTAAAGAGATTGAGGGATTACTCCCCGCCTCCGGGTCTAGAAAGGAGGGACTCGGTCTATAGCCATAAGATATTGTGAAATAAGAATTTTAAGTCTATACCAACGTACTATAGTGGTCAAAGTCACACAAATCAAAATGTAAAAATATATCGGATGAAATTATAACCTGATTCCACTTGACCTCTACTCCATGGGCCCTAAATATCTCACAGCTTGGCTTTCATTCTTCCTTCACAGTAAACCTACTCCATGACCGTATCTTCGGCCCATATATGAAAAACACAATTGGGACAGGGAACAATGCGGCGGTAAGACAGCCGAGCAAAGTCATCGCCCAAGGGACGCCTAGATTGTGGAACTATTGCAGTCAGCCCAATTCTTACTGCTAGCAAAGAGACAAAACACACCATCGGCGATGCGAACATAGGAAATCCAGCCCCCAGCCAGGAACGAAAGAAGGAGTTTGCTGCCATCGCAGAGTTGGCATACATGGGATACACATCCACGAGATAGTTAAGTCCCTGCAGATCACGGTCAATACTTTTTAATGGCTTTGCTATTTCAATCGGGACAATACCTGTAAGAAGATCAATAGCACTCCACAACCTAAGAAACCCCCCGATACAGCCTGCGGAACCCAAGTGATGTGAGGATTTGAGGTCCAGCCAAACCAAAACATCCCCGCTGGCAACAAGACACCGCCAATAATCATAGGAATCAACCGTTCCTCCGGCTGAACTCGGCCATTTCGTTTTATGAACATCCGATACCGCGTCAATGAAAACGCAATGATAATTAAACAAGCACAGAAGACTCCGCAAATGATCGCGACGAACGGCAATGCCCCAACTCCATCATCCCAGCCACGTTCTTCTTGGAAAGAAATCGGGTAGGCGACGAAACAAGTATACAAAAACCCATATATGAAACCCACGTAAAGGGTAATAAGCAGAAGAATGGGTTCCTGCACGAGCATCTGAAACGGACGCAACAAATATCGTACCGCAATGTCTCGAGGTCTCACCACCTTCTCTTCTGCCTTTGCATGTAAAGCCCAGTTCTTGGTCTTGGTGCGGAGTCTCCTAGCGCGCTTCGTGAGTAACGTGTCCTCAAACGTCTCGGGGATTACCAGGACGCCGATGGCAGAGATGGCAAATGCCCAAATAGCGGTGATATACTCTGTCCAGCGCCAGCCTAGGTAGGAGATTGTGACGAACCCGCCGACGACTGGCCCAGCTACCGGGCCGATGAATGTTGCCGCGGCGAAGATGGCCATTGCAATTCCTCGCTCTACGGGTTCGAACATATCGGCCAAGATACCGGATACCTGAATTGTAAACAAATGCCAATGAGCGAGAGTCAATCTGTAAGGTAGAAGAATTGCCACAAACTCACAATGGCAAGAGGTGCACTGGCAAAGATCCCACCTAGGAAGCGACATATAAAGATAGTCTGCAGATTCTGGGCTACCGCGACGGGGATCTGGAAGATCGCGAAGACAAACATCCCCAGAAACATCGGTCGCTTCCGGCCATACAGCTCAGACAGGGGACCGAAGATGATAGGGCCAAATGCGAAGCCTAGAACGAACAAACTGACACCTAATACCATGACTTCTGTGGAGACGCCGAACTTCTTCGCTGTCTGTTTTGTTGCTGTGCTGAAGACCGAAGATGCGAATGTAACGCAGACTGTCATCAGTCCTAGCATCACGGTGATCACCCACTTCCTCCATGCCGGGAAGTTCTGGGGCATTTCCTAGAATGATATTAGAGGAGCTGTACATACTGAAGGGGAGAAGATGGGATGCCATACCGGATCATCTGGGCCGTCCCAACCTATTATTAGGTCTTTCCGATTTGGAGATTTATCGGGTTTGTTTGCTCCTCCGTTGCTTTCTAACACATCGGCCACGTCGTATCTGTCACCATCGTCGAGCATGGTCTGAAAACTGGGGGAATCATGCGGAGATTGAAGGGTGCTGTGCCGGGACAGTGATGTTTGGGCCTCTCTACTGGCCATTGCGGAGACAGTCGGGTTCGCATTCAACGGAGGATAATGGTCGAAGGCGGTTCGTTAGTGGTGTAGCAGCGGTGAGCATCGAGTAGAAGGTCTCTATGAGTCTGTTCATACATGCGTTAGAAGCACCATAGGATATCTACGCCGTAGGAGTATGTTATTTAACTCCATTTCGTTTTCTGCATTTCCCACAATAACAGATGATTTGTGATCTTGCAAAACGTCATGGCATCCATCGGCGATGGGCTAAGTCATGGGTGGTATTAACGACGACATCGTTACGTATTTTCGAGTGGAAGTTCACATAACTGAGTACGTATGAGGGTAGCTCGCGATTAAAACAACATCGGTGTTGTGTGAAACGTAGGTATAGAATGTGTAGAACCAGATATATATCAAAGTATTCGAAACAGGTCCGATTCAACTATAGACGGCATGATCCAAAAATTTTCTTTGATGTTGGGATTACTGATATGAATGTAGTAAAGCCAAAGTATGTCTGTTCAATTAGTTGTATACACATAAATGAAAATTTGTACACCAAGACTTCGGACTTTATCCACTTTTGACAGCACACGAAAAGCTGGCGCCACTCGAATCATCGTGAATCGCTTTGCCAGACACCCAGAGACCCATGCCACACTTTGTCAAAATTAGCGATCCGATAAATGGGCCAGAATGGACAAATTTAACATACCAAGCAAGCACCAATCGCGACAATCACCAGGTTAATAGCAGTCAGGACCATCTTTTTCCAGGATGCCCCGTACAGGCCTCGGTTCAAGAATAGCCAGAATATGCCACTTAATCCATCTTGTATTGAGGTCAGCAATATGAAAGGCATGTTGTAGACGGAATATCACTCACAGGTAAACCAGCTAGCGAAAAGGGAAGTCTATTCAGTGAATCCATATTAGTAGCTGTCTTAATTGTAGTTCTCTGCGAAACTCACGATCAGACTCAGCAATGTATTGAACACAGGGATTGCCTCTGAAATAATCCATGCTATCACCCATAATACCAGAGTGATGGCAACCCAGGACCCGACGGAGAAGAATGTACGCCTGTGCATGTGATCCGTACCCCTGAAGAGGCGGACGTAGACATATTTAGATGCGACATGCCCATTGATGACACCAGCTATGACAATCTAAAATTTCAAGTTAGGAACATTTTATTTGAAGTCGAAGCACGTGTCAGAGATCTCGCACCGTAGGGATTGCAATTCCATATGCAATCTTTGCTGTTATTGGATCTGTCGAGCTCAGGGCGGGTGATTTCACATCCTTTCCACCGTATATATATATAACAACAGCGGCTATCACATACATACTTGTATCGGTGATCTGGAGCAGGTATAGGGTCTTAGGATAGTCCGTTGGAGTCTTCATCTCGGAAATAAAACCAAAGAAAGCCACATGACCAGCTGGATCCAAGTTAGTTGCAAGGTCTCGCTAGCTGAGTAGTATAGTACTTACCATAAGCAAACACAATATTTGTCACGGCCAGGAACCCCTTTGAAAGACTGACTGTTGTAGTCGCGTCTACCTTGCCGTCACCCGGGCGCTGGACAGCAATGGCGATCATCGTAATCAAGAGTGCGGCGATGATACTTGCGAAAGCTGTGATATTTAGCAAGGAGCTCGTTGCAGAATAGGTATAGATATACATACACGCAAACGAGAACCAGGAGACCTTGCGAAGAGTTCGAGGCAAGGCGAATATGAACGAGACAATCAAACCAACTACTCCAAATACAATTGAGCAGGTGCCATGATCTGTGACTGTATCCAACATGACACTAAAGGTCAATAGATGACTGCCCATGACGAAGATCAGAAAGAACAGCTGAGCCGTTCCCATGAACTCCCTACCGAAGCGAGATAGGCCAAGGGGATGAAAAAGCAGCTCTCCAGCATCTCCCATACTATGTACTTGCGGGTATCGGAGTTTGAATTGGCCGATCACATATCCAGTATAGGTTGCGACGATACCAAGCCCGACGATGAGAATGAGCGCACTGGAAAGTAGTTAGCATACTGTGATACTAGGCATTAGGTGGTAGGAGTAGAGAATTACGGGACAAGTCCTAGCACTGCTACAGCCGATGGAAGGGACAGAATACCCAAGGAGATAGTTTCTGCGATCATGATCATGCCGCATTGCCACCATTCTAACGTCCGATATTTCGTTTCGGCATTTTCTTCATCTCCAAATGGGTCGGCAACATGAGTAATCACATCTTCTTCTGATCGATGATCTTCTTCCTTTTCTACTGAGTGTCTCCATCTGTCATTGTCGGGACTTGGGGCAGCATGACGGTGAGAATCTGCGATGTCATCCATCGAGGACGGCACCTGGGAAAATGACCGGGATCACTGTTGTGAGCTAGTGATCGCGATCACTATCAACGGGAGAATAAATATCAAACAATGCCTGAAAGTGATAGAATGTAATAATAATTTTAGACAAGCTCGATGTAAATTGGTGATGTCATAGTGTGGGGAAAGCTATACGGAGTTGGAAGCCGAATAGAAGTTGAACTTCTTCACCGTGGCAGGAAAAAGCACCCTAACATCAATAGCTAGAAACCAGCCTATCAAAAGACCGCCATAGTTCCAGCTAATAACAACGCTGACTATAGGCTTGGTTGCGCCACCTGATGGCCTGGCCAGAATGGGGATCACACCTTTTGTGCCATGATTTGCTCCTGGTAAATTAGGATACCTCTGGAACTTAGTCTTACCCATCCTCTGGATGCGGTATTGCCCGATTATATCCGAAGTTGGACCTAGTGCACCTGAATTGGATATATTTGGTTGTCACCCATACTGAAATGAGCGTTGATCCCACTCTACGGGGCAAGTGACCATCAGGCATGATAACAATATGCTATGATTATTCATGTCATCCAGCCGGCGAATAAAGGGCACAATGCAACATTGTAGTTTCCGATTAGTTATATAATCAATTTCGGTATGTATTCCGGGCCTCCCGTTGAGGGCGTCATCATCTCTCTAATAGCTCCACATTCTCGCGATCCACCGAGATTTAGATGCTCTTTATGATGCGATTCTTTGCCGAAGGATCACTCATCCGCGAACCCGGATATGTCGCGCTCGATCGATCGGGGTGAAGGGTTGGTTTATGATTGGTCCGTGACTTTGACGCGTCGTCGGTATAGGCCAGTCCGTTCTCATCCACGTAGGCTGCGACAAATGGTTTAATTAATGGCGCTATCAGTACAAGAACGCTGAGTGCCACGTGGAGCTCTGTCACGACGGTAGCGAATGTCCCTTCGAGCGTTGGATCTGGCGAATTGACTTGTTGACTCATGTAATGAAGGTGGATTGCCCCGACGGGGATAAGGCTGCAAGCATACCGGGTCATTGTTAGTTATGCAGGAAGATAATTAGAACGAGATCTTGAACATACTATACTCGACAACTAAGCACCAGAATTGCAAAAGATTTGTTGCCTAGTGTCATCTGTAGTCGCAGGATTGCCCTTATGGGATAGAGTGACAGCATAATCTCAAAAATAATATCCAATGCTGTGACGGCCTGCCGGTGAGGGAACTAGACGGATATGAGTGGATACATGCCATTCGCAGTTATAATAACTCACCAAAGCGGAGCATTGTTTATTATTAATGTCATGCCACGGAGATCGATCACAGCGGACTGTGAGCCTCAGCGGTTCATCAACTATCATATTTATAATTTGAGCTAACTTCAGACTAGGTAGTCACACAAGTACTCAGTTATCTATGTTTAGAAAGAGGGTTTAATTGCACTTTTACATTTAAATTGAGCCGAATATACCGAGGTGCGATAATATTCAGTAGCTCACAATAGAACTGTGTTGCAACACACATGGAGTACATGTATAGCGAACTCTTCAATTCTACTTACCGTACTTGGAATCGCAAGTAACAGGGTACACGAGGCCAGCATAGTATGCGCAAGACGAGCAAGGATGCAGAGGCAGGTGAAGAAGATCTCGCTGTTGTTGAGCCCGGAAGAAGGGTGCGAGATACGAAGCAAATCGCGGGCGAAGCTGTTGTGAATGTGGAGGAAAGCGAAAAGAAGGATGTCAAAATTGTCGATTATGATTTGAAAAAGGTGAAACAAGAGAAGAAGTCTGCTACCTCTCAGAAATCTCGTGCAGTCAGAGGAAGAGGAAAGAAACCCCCTGTTGTTGAGGAGAAGTGAGTGTGCACAGCCTTAATCCTCGTCGACGTCGTCCAGGCTCAGACTTTCTTGGATTGTTTTGTTTCCGTTCTTTTCTACTGCGAGTCCTACGCGTCCAATCTGTCACCCATTTCACTGTGATTAAAAAAGGAAAAAAAAAGAGAAAAAGGAGGATGAAAAAGGGCACAGGACCAGCTTAAATGTTTCATGGACATGAGAAAAGCACCTCAGACACCCATACTTATTACTATGATATGAATGATAACACACTGTTATGGTCATTGCCTGTTAGTTTCCAATAAAAGTAGACATCAAAGGTAAAACCAGTATGCCTCCATTGTGTGGTTCGGGTGATTCATATTTCCTGTTGCACTTAAAAGAGCTGCTCCAATACTCCAACTGCTCTCAGATCATAGGCAACACTGCAGGATCTGGCCGCAAACACTTCGACCTTGGAACCCAGGATTGGTATGGCATCCAGCTATACCATTCTAGATGTAATGATAGGCGCCGAAGAGTTGACTTTTAAATGATAGAATCCACTAATTTCTCAGTGGTTGGAATGAACCTAATGGTACACAACTGAGATACATGGAGTATATCTTAGTATCTTCTATATCGACGCAAAGCCTTGGTATCTACCATACATCAAAACAAACCCACAATTTATGTAGCACCGTGATCTTGCTCCGTTGCAAGTCTCATTCCGTATTCCCGTCACTCTTTCCTTTCCAGACCAGCCACGCGCCCACAATCAATAACTTCAAGATAGCTGCTGTCCACAAAGCTCCCATCATGCCGACAGAGCTATGAGCCCAAAGACCCCCCAAGACGACCCCGAGCAATAAGCACAAGACTGCGCCAAGCCGCCGCATCTCCTCAGCATGACCGACGACCTTCCTCGTGAGCAGATCAGGGTGTGAAAACAAGTCGCAATAATTACTAGTAAGAACAACACTAGTCAAGCCGCTAAAGTTCAAAACACGACTCGTCACGGCCTGCCCACTACTCTGGAACGCCACGAGCGCAACCGGGACGAGGACCAACCAACTCAGGGGCGCATCGCGGGCCGGTCGATATATGGTAACTATCAAAGCGGCAATGGACACAAACAGGGTTTGAGCCAGGAACGACGCACATAGTACCCATCTGCGTCTTGCCGGGAAGACACGGTGGAAGGTGGCGAAACACAGCGAGCCTAGACAGAACCCCGCGATGGAGACTCCGGATTTGATCCAGCGATCATCTTCGGTTCCGACGAGTCCCAGTCCAAAATATACCGTGTTGCCGGTTTGCATGCTCACAAAGGAGCCCCATATGAAGACCGCTGAGCTGTCGAGTAGGCCAGTGATGATATAGCAGAAGAGAAGGATCAGGTCGCCGTACGTAGGGTCGAGTTCGCTGCGCAGGTGTTTGGATAGCCGGGATAGCCGGGGTGGTTTATGGGCTCTGCCATTGCCCAGCAGGGCATCTGTTTCGGACATGGTGTGGTGGATTAAGGGGGAAGTTGTTTTCAAAGCGCGTAGGAAGTTCAAATCTCTGATAACAACGTCATCCCGCGTTTGCGATTATCCGCGTCCACGACAATGCGCTCCGCAATGAAATGAGAGAGTCAACCTGCGACCGGCAATGTCGTGACGTCGATGAGAACATTTTCAATTCAAAAATATTTCTCGGAAGCTATTTTTCTCTATGTAACCAATTTTAAAGACCATGCAGCTTACACATTTCCTATTGACCCTGGCATGCCTTCAGGTTGCATGGGCTATCCCTGCCCCGGATAACAACCTACGGGGCCTACTCCAAGTACCAGTCGGCCGTCCCGCAGAGTGGTTCGGTCAACAGCCTATTTCTGGACACCCGCCTTTCTCTCCTGGACATCGCGACCCGTATGATCACAAGGTCGATACTATTGGAGATGACCGACAGCCACTGCCGATCCGCAATGGAGATGGAACAACGATGATGGGACCGCGAAATCGAGATCGCGAGCGCCAGAACCCTGATCTTGTTCGTCCACCAAGTACCGACCATGGCAGTATGTCTAATATGCGATGGAGTTTTGCAGATTCACATATTCGGATTGAGGTATGGTCATTTTCAATATGGGATAATACATCGTTAATCTAAGATGCGTGTGTAGGAAGGTGGATGGACGCGACAAACGACTATCCGCGAGCTGCCTACCAGCCGTGAACTCGCGGGTGTCAACATGCGTCTAGATCAAGGGGTAATCCGCGAACTTCATTGGCATACGGAAGCTGAATGGGCATTTGTACTTGCTGGAAAAGTACGAGTCACTGCACTGGACTTAGAAGGTGGCACCTTCATGGACGACTTGGAGGCAGGAGATCTGTGGTATTTCCCCGCGGGACATCCACATTCGCTCCAGGGTCTGGGTGAAAATGGCACGGAGTTTCTTCTGATCTTCGATGATGGCAACTTCTCGGAAGAGTCCACCTTCCTCTTGAGTGATTGGTTGGGTATGTTGGCTAGCTATGTCTCGCCCTATGATTTACCAATACTAACCCAGTCTCCAGCTCACACCCCCAAGGCAGTTCTAGCAGAGAATTTCCGGGTATCCCCGGAAAAGTTTGATAACATCCCAACATCCGAGAAGTACATATTCCAGGGCTCAAACCCAGGAAGCATTGACCAGGAAAAACCACGCACCTTCAAGAAATCAAAGACACAATTCACACATCACTTGCTCGCCCAAGAACCCGTCGAAACCAGCGGCGGCCGTGTCCGCATTGCCGACTCTTCCAACTTCCCAGTCTCCAAAACAGTAGCAGTCGCCCATCTAGAGATCTCACCGGGCGCACTACGCGAGATGCACTGGCACCCCAACGCCGATGAATGGACATATTTCAAGAAAGGTCGCGCGCGAGTCACGATATTTGCCGCGGAAGGGAACGCCAGAACGTTCAACTATATGGCCGGTGATGTCGGGATCGTGCCTCGGAATATGGGTCACTTCATTGAGAACCTGAGTGACGATGAACCGCTGGAGGTTTTGGAAATCTTCCGTGCGGATCGGTTCCGGGATTTCTCTCTCTTCCAATGGCTTGGTAGTTCCCCTCGCCGAATGATTGTTGAGAACTTGTTTCCCAATGATCCTAAGGCTGCAGCGGAATTTTTGAAAAAGATCGAAGGTGCTGAAAAGGATCCGATCAAGGATACCATCTAATCTTTTACACGTTGAGATCAGGCTTGCCGGTTCTGCGGATACATGAAATACGAAGTATTCAGATACATCGCACAATAATATGAATGACGAGGGTGCGGACAGAGAGGCTTCTGACGGGGGCACAACAGAAGGAAGAGACGGTTTTGCTCCACATTTGCTTCGAAGCTCACGATACATGACATTGTTTGCTTCATACACGATTTACACCTAGGGAGTAATCACCCCAAGTCAGAGCTAAGCTACTTCGGAAATGAGCCTACGTTGTAGGCCAAGCTATCTATCGCTATAGGCATCAGCTGTCGCCTGTGTGTGATAGTTTGCAATATTCCGTTTTGCAACCGACTGTATACTTTTACGACTAAAGCAAATTTGTAAGCTTCGGCGATTGATATTATGAAAAGCTCTCTAAAAAGGCGATCACAACTAAAGACTGTCTGTCGATCGACAAAATTTCTACACCGGTATTAGCGGGAAGATATATGCCGGTATTATTTTGACCACGGTGTTTAATCCGCTTTCATCTTGTTGAGAATCCCAGTTGATTCGCGGTAATTAACATGCATTGAGAGGTTAGACAGTTTTATGATTCATTCTTGGTACCATATGTACTTCGAGTATGAAATCATCTTTGCAAGATATATTTATCCCAACCCACACTTCGTGTAGTATCTTTACTCTAAATTTAAAAACATCTGAAGTAGGTTGTGAAAATGTAATCTATGAACTACGAGGAACTGGGCTTAATGTCCTAGGCTATCTGTATGTTGATTAGGCGACCGAGTGCTGAATAGCTTCTAATATAATATTCCCCAGCTGACTGGTGTTTGCTGCTTAAGTTCTTACTTCGACATACCCTCCTTTCGGGAGAGATTGCCAACTGCTGACCCAACGCGATCAAGTACAGCGCTGATTTCCCTATCCCGGGAGACAGATTTACGCTTTATCAGAGTCGCGTGGTGCTCATCTCGAGGTGTGAAGATTGCCTTGAACGGACTTGGCCGGAGCAGCGTCCCCGTCTGAGTTAGGTTTGATAGATCAATATCAATCGGCACACCATCCACACGACCAGGCTCAATATTGAAAGCCCAAAGCATTTGAGGTATAATAGCACTAAGCGAGGCACGGGAGAGATGTTGCCCTGGACATGCTCTCCTGCCCACACCGAAAGGCTGAAGTGGCAGGTCAGGGTTCTCAATCCAGCGCTCTGGTTCAAATGCCTTGGCATTCGAGTACAGGTCTTCGTCGAAATGGGCTGACCAGTGATTGAACATAACAATCGTACCCTTTCTAATATGATACCCTCGGTAGTGGTCTTCATCAGAGGTATAGCGGAGCACGCCCTCTGGAACCAAAGGACGCCAGCGCAGGACTTCGTTAATGAAGGCCCTCACATAGTGAAGATGCGGTAAGTTGTCGGTGCAAGGGAGTCGTGTCATGCCAACTACACGGTCAAGCTCCTCTTGCGCCTTTCGAGTTGCATCGGGGTGAGAGATGCATGCGAGTACGACGTTGCAGAAGACAGTGGAGGTTGTGTCTATTCCGCCTTCCAACAAGACACCTAGCATATATGCCACTTCGTCTTGGATAACTCCGTCGTGTCCTCCACTTCATGAATGTGCCTAGCAAAGTTCCACAAGCCAGTCTCCAAGGCAACCGCGAAGTTCTTGTTGAATAGCCGGGATGCGCGGGCCTGGAACTCATCACCCGTCCATTTCCATCTAGGAGACATGCGTTTACAGTGTTCATCTATCCTGTCTCATTATGAAAACACAAGGTCCGGCTCTTTCCTGGTCCTATACGTCCCTGGATAGATACCCTAGTATGTTCTCAGACCTATGTTCAATCATCCAGTCGTGAGACTGAGCAGTACGCGCTTGACTGGATTATTAACGGTGAGTGTTGCCTTCGTCGCTGCGTCCTACTGTTATTACCAGCATGTTGTCTTCACGGTGTACCACCACTGTACTACTGCTGTGGTACTCCCAGGTACGCTCTTAGGAACTCCAGGTGTCTCTGTCAGTCCTGGTGAGAATGTGCGGTGACGTCTTCTTTCAATGGAAGCCCCAACTCGACTCCAATTTCCCCGTCGACACCCTGCGAGCCATCACCCACTCAGAAATGTGGTTCGATTATAAACAGAGCCGAATGATGAGCACCCAGTGTTACCAGCAGCTAGGCAAAGAACATGGAATCTCAGAAAAGGAGATTGCCCGGATGTTCCGCCACAGTACAGGTTGCTTGATGCCCAACCCGAGAATGACCCGGTTGCTGTATGAGTTGAAGAATCGTGGGCTCGCGATCTACATGATGACGAATATTCCACGGATTCATTTTGACCAACTGCGATCTGTGGAATATGAGTGGGACTTGTTCGACGCGATATTTGCGTCAGGATATGTCGGCATGCGGAAGCCAAATCGTTGCTTCTATGAACTCGTTTTGAAAGAGACTAGCACGGCGGCGTTGGAAGCAATTTTTATCGATGACAAAAATGAAAATGTCCTAGCAGCAGAGGAGGTTGGCATGGCGGGTCTATTGTATGACGGTACAAAGGCAGATGAGTTCTGGGCTCAGCTGATGGATATCTTAAGCGGAAAGGCTACAGATAGTATGGCATAGGTTGGTCGTGGATGCTAGACGTGATCGGGAATATGACGGAAAATAGACCCTTTTCAATGCCACCTAGTCTGACAGTAGTATTTGTTTATTAATGTACCCTCGCGGACTGTCTCACTTAGATCACCGCACACTTCTCAGATATCGCATTTGTTGCTTTTCCGCTGAAAGTCAAATAACCACGAAGATAGGAAGTTCAATGTCATTTTAAAGAGTCAGATAGAGGTGAAAATTTTCTAGAGACTTTTTTCACGAAATTGGTTACTCAAACATGGAACAGAAAAGATGTATCCCACCAGCCTAGATCTAGTACAAACATCTGACGCCGTTAGCAATATGCTGCTGAGTACGCTTCTCTGCCTTGTAAGCCTTTACTTATTCACATTTTATGAACATGTATATCATGCTGACGGGATACATGATGTATTATAGGCCATCGCGGGAATATTATGGCGCCTTATGTGGAGACTCCTTTTCCACCCCTTAAGCAAATTACCTGGCCCCAAGCTGGCAGCGATATCTAATATCCCCTATATCAAGTGGTCACTGTCTGGAGAGATCCATTTTAAGCTCTAAGAATTGCATGACCGATATGGAGACGTGGTCCACATCCGTCCTAATGCGTTGACCTACCGTGACACCTAGGCCTGGACGGATATATATTCGCACCGCAACTCCGGAGCTCCTTCCTTTGACAAGGATCCCGAGTTCTACATTCCTCCCTCGAACGGCGGTGCTGCCAACCTTATCAGTGCCAGTAACGCGGACCATTCACGCCAGAAGCGGCTGTTAGCTCATGCGTTCTCGGAGCGAGCGTTGCGCGATTAGGAGAAGTTGATTCTTGGGTATATCGACCTCTTTATCCGCCAATTAGGAGAATATGCCGATAGGAAGAATGAGAGTAACCCCCTAGATTTAGTACATTGGCTTAACTTCCTGACATTTGACATCATTGGTGATCTGGCTTTTGGTGAACGCTTTGGCTGCTTGGATGACTCACAGTATCATCCCTGGGTGGCCACCATGTTCTATAGTATCAAGACAGGGGCCTTTCTCCGAGCCCTTTCGATCTATTTCACTCTTGCAAGAATACTCCGCGCTGTCATGCCTAAGCGGTTGATCCAAAAGCGCCTGGAGCATTATAAACCCAGCCAGGAGCGTGTGAGTCGACGACAGGCTACCACCACCTCCCGGCCAGACTTTATGTCGTACATCTTAGCCTACAACGAAGAGCGTGGAATGCAACCCTCTGAGATCGAGACAAATGCCGCGCCGATAATCCAGGCTGGCAGTGAGACCACTACCACAGCGATAGCGGCGTGCCAGTTCTATCTTCAGACGAACCCTGACTGTTATAAACAACCTGCCAAGGAGAGTCGCACTTCTTTTAATTCTGAACATGAGATCACCTTCATTTCTGTTGCCAAGCTGCCGTATTTAAATGCAGTAATTGAAGAAGGCCTGCGAATGTATCCCCCTGCGCCGGCCATTGGACCTCGAGTAGTCCCTGCAGGGGGCGCCGTGGTCTGCGGCCAACACTTACCCGAGAAGCTCTGCAAACATTTTTCATGGGTCCACGCGGGTGTATAGGTCGCAAGTAAGAATTGCCATTGCCCTATAATATTCTATATTTTTTCGCCTACAACATCTTCTAACTTAACTAGCCTCGCCTACGCAGAAATGCGTCTCATATTATGCAAATTGCTGTAGCACTTCGATATCCGTCTAGACCCCCGTGCCGCGGAGTGGGATAAGGCCAAGAGCTACATCGTCTGGGAGAATCAACCGTTGTGGGTACATCTCCAACGGACCAGACACTGATGGAAGTAGTGCTCCTAATTATATATTGTCGAAACCCCAAGATTCATGTAACGGTCTCTATGCATTGTAATACTAGGAAGCTCTACTTGCAGAAAGTATAGTCTTAGGCTGCCTAATTGGGATCTGACATCATTCATGGTAGAGGCACGATTTGAGATCCAATTAAATCTTTCACAAGCGTTGATTTTAATGTCTACGGAAATCGCATCTCCGAGAGCGTGATGTTATTAACGCATAGGGCCCTTAGACAGCATCTCTCGTAGGGTAAGATAGCTTAGGGGTTCACCATGTCTCCTTTCTTCCCAAACACAAGTCACTCCATCCTCACTCCATTAGCCCTACTACATAATTCCATGAGTATCTCTCTACCATACCGCCAACCTTCGAAAGCTTGCTGTTGAATCATTAGATTACTTTACATCATTCCAAGATCGGGTATCCGGGGACAACGCGTCTATAATTTCCAACAGTCGAATCTTACCATCAAATTCACATACTTTGCGCCATCAGTCATCACAGTTATTGGCGAGTATCCAAAGTTGTCATATCGCCTCCCTGGTTGAGGCGCTCTCTCTTCTGGCTGCTGGGGCGGAGGGGGCTCTACCTAGTGCGCCCCTCGTCGAAGTCCCCGGCCCCAGAGCCCCCCGGAAGGTACCCCCGTCCAGTCCCCTCGCGCCTCGCGCTCGGTGGGTTTCAAGAGCTTCGCGGAATAGTATCTTAGTCCCCCAGCGGGAAACACGACCTAGGTTAGGGTCTTCTTTATTTTGGCCAGGAAGCTGTTAAATGAGGTAACAATCGGTGTTCAGCTACATTCGTTTAGGTTTTGGCTTTGTGCGAGCTGGTCTCTCCCGTGATTGTTGCGTATTACATGTTGGGTACTTGATATTCTTCTTGGAACAAGTTGAACACATCTGGTGAATTTCATGCGCTCTTCCAATGGCATATTCTAACGCCTTTTGTCTGCGGTACTCTGCTCTACCACATATATTCCGCGAGGAGGGACATAGTTTGAACGGAACAGAAATGTTCCAACTATGATCAGGATGTGCGAGTGATTAGAGGTTTCTCACTGTGATAGTAAAATTGAAGGGTGGGGTGGGGGTTTCAACCAGGATGGTATATGACGTACTATGAATTCATTTTGGATACAGTAGGACAGGGATTTCTATAGCTAAATACCTCGATATACAGGGTTTCAAGTGGTGCTCTGCACTATGAACGCCCAGCAGACAAAGAGATCTGTGATGAAGCCTAAACTACTCGAATAGGCAACTACTGAGAATAAAAATATTGAATTGAATGTGACCGCAAAATCAGAAGGATCTGAGCAAAGTATGGCTGATCTCCTTCACTCTTGTTTCAGTCCGTCTTCGACAGCCAGAAAACCAGCCGTCGGTGTCTCATTCAGAGTCTTCATCCTCTCGAGAAAGGGCCTCCACAATTTTCAGTCCCTTCTCAGCGTCATCGTCTTCCCATACCGTGAGACCGAAGCTTAGCAGAAAGTATGTCCACCCACCATACGATTCAACAACCGCGCGCTCGGCGGGGGTGAGAAATGGTTCTGTTGCATTCTAGAGTCAGCCATGGATAGTACTTTGTATTCGATGGGCCAACGGGGAATGAATGTACGAAGTGCATCAGTGTCCGGCATTTTGCTCGTAGACGACAGTTTTCACTTTGCTCGTAAAGGAGGGAGTGTCTAGTCCGGGTGCTGATAGCAGCTATTCAAACCCCGTGAAGATATATCATTGAAACTCACGGTAAAATGGCTTCAGCGCTGGAGTGTGTGTGGGAGGTTGGTGAAGAAGTCAGAAAAGTCAGAGAGGATGAGCATGGAGGTCAACAAACCGACAAACTTTGGGAAGGTGCGCGCGATAGCGACACCGCATACAAGACTACGCCTATATGACAAAGCTACAGGCAAAGTCGCTTCAAACAAATATGAACGTAGTGGCCAATAATCAAGAGCCCATGTCATAGGCAATATATTTAGCTTGTATGAGTTTCCCTCGGATTACGCAGCAGATCTTTCTCCTCATTATTCTTCAACATGAAAATGATCTTCTGGTACCTCAGTGGATCAGCTTCGGCAAGCCAAGAAATGCCAGAATCCGCGCCCAGAACAGACGACTCCCCCTATTTGTTTCAATTCCAAGCCAATCAGTCTGGCCGAGCAAGGTTGAAGATCTTTTTCACATCTTCTACAGTGACTAAAAGTAAATAACGGTACCATTCTCCTGGCGGACGAATTGCAGGAACTCATCCAAATCATTGTTGTTCGGTGTACCAACGACGAATACCGCTGGTTTCCCGTATGGTGCGGAGACACGTGCAGTCTGGCCACCTCGGTACTTCTTACCAGTCCAAACGTGGGTAAAGACTTGATTCTTTCCGGGAAAGTAGACCTTCACGCTAGTGCGGTCTGGGTCTAACACCGGTGCGACATACAAATCAGAGCCCAGATAGAAGCTCTGATAGCTGATTGCCTTGGCGACCTCGTCATCCGGGTGGTAGACGACGGGCATACGAAGCAAGGGCCAGCCCAGCTTCTTGCTTTCGGTTTCCAAGATGCGCCGACGATATTTCGCAAGACTGGCAAACATGCGCGCGTTGTAACCGAACCAAGAGTACGTGGTAGAGTTGCTGTAGAACTGCGCGTTGATCTGGGGGACGTTGCCCTCGTGGGTACGGAAGACTACACTGGAGACGGCGGCAAGTTCGCCCCACCGACCGAGTAGTTCAGAAGAACGGTTCACAACACCGTTGCTATCCCAGGTAGTGGTGTATCCACCAATCTCCATGTGGCCGTGAGCATAGCCTGACAGGCCCATGTGGCCCATGACGGTGACGGCAGCCTTGATACCATCGTTGATGCCCCAGTTAGTGTTTTGGTCGCCTGCCCAATATAGGTTCATATACCGGTTTGCCGCCATGGAGGATGAGCGATGGAACAGGATGGCGTCGGAGAATGAAGACACGTTCTTTCCAATCCACTGATGCAGAGCAGCCCACTCGCGGGGATAGGCATTGTGGTAGAAGAATGGATCAATACTCATGTTGGAGAACTGAGTGTCGGGGTAGATAGGGGTATATTCTCCAAAATCAGTCATGAATCCAGAGATATTGGCACTCCAAACTTGATCCAGCATCACCTCCTTGAACCAGGATCGTCCAGCAGTGTTGGTAAGATCAAGAATACCAGCGTCAAGGCCGGGGCCACTGGAAATAACGGATGTGCTATTGGTAGTGGAGTTTTGGATCATGTAACGACCCTGACTAGCCTCGTCGTAAAGGTTGGTGCGGTAGCCATTCGGCTTCGTGCTGACATTCGCCAAAAATGGGTTTATGTACGCCAAAGTACGGACATTGTACCGATCCCGCAGCGACTGAACAAACTCGTTCCATGTTGGGTAAAGTGTAGTATCAGATTCCCAGTTCCACCAAAGACGAGACACATTCAGCGACATGTAGGACACGCTCTGCGAGTGTGTACCAGACCAATCCTGAAGCCAGACTGCAGCAATGGGACATTCAAGTTCAAGTCCTTGGCTGACAATCCGGTTCACCTTGGTTTGCCCTCCTTGAATAGCAAGCACTGCACCAGTGTCGACCCACTCCGGCAATGCGGCCATCTTGCCGGTATAATCGGTAAGCATGGAGATACTATTCAGCATGTTCTCAGCTTGCATAAAGTAACCCTCCACGGTCAGGCCGTCATATCGCACAGTAACAGCACTAGGATCGGTGAAATCGAAGGTAGTGTACGCAGAGCTCTCTTGTGTTAGATGGAACACCCGGGATTTCGAGCTGATATACTGCGGGACCGCGGTGTAGGTTGTGAACTGATCTCCGCCGGCAAAGAAGCTGTCCGCGTTTTCAAGTCGCGTTGTTGGCTGGTCACCGCGACCGACACCTTGCTCACGCGAGAATATCGGAACAGTCTGGTTTTTGAAAGAGGCGAACGATCCCTGGGCACCAAGTCCGTAGAAATCCTCAGATGGAGAAGATCGGTATGTCAAATATAGCTTTGTTGGCGAATCTGATGAAGTTTCAGGGTCGACATTGACGCTGAAAGCAACGCGATCGGGGAACTGCGATGGGACCCAGAAGGCAACAGAGAAATGAGGAGTGACATTGCCACAGCCCGTGAGCTGACCCTCAATAACCGCAGCATGGTAATTCTCGCTTTCTTGCCACGACTTGACAGCAACATCGCTTATCTTCTGGCCGGTACACTTGTTTCGGTCTACTTCATTGATCTTGAAGTTGCCATTGGCGGCGATCACCTCGTCGTATCCTGCGCTGACACTAAGAAATGACTGTCCTGGCACGGTCTCCCAAATTGACCTACCATGGTTGGCAATGGACAGTTGGTTGGAATCCACATTTACTGTGAGTTCAAAGCCATTCCCTAGGTTCCATGGGGTATGGACGCCGACACACGGAGCTGCGAGAGAGGCCCAAAGCCAAAGGTTGGGGGCGCGCATCTTAGAATGAGACTTTGATCGGAGCACGGAGCGTCCAAATGGCGGGAGGCTGGTTTATAAAGTTGCATGGTCTCCGCACTAGGGTCTGCAGAATCTTTGGATGACATCTGAGGAGAAGTCTGTCCCACTTAGTGCAATCGTAGTAATTTGTATCCGTCGACAGTCTGTAGTTTTCGGCCAATCAATATGATACCATCCATTTATCTAATGATGATCAGCCAATTCTATAACCTTAAATGGTTGGTCCCGCCAAAGGGTGACGGAGAAATAGGCTCCATAGCCGACGGCTCCGTCGGCTCATCGCGAGGGACCGCTTCTACAACGCGATATCGCCATACACTCGTGGTGAGATATAATCTGGGCATCGGAATAACTTCGGCCTTCTTAGAGCTCACTCTAGTTTGCCATCCCATCCGTACACTCATGTATAGATCCTTCCACATATGCTGGAAGAGGAACGGGTCGGCCCGAATGGCTCCACACGGAGATGACGTCTTAAATGCTAAAATGGTACGAAAGGATATCGACTTGGAACAATGATAATGTAAATGTACATAGTTGGAGAAATATGTAAGGCTCTCGCCATTTAGTCAACTGGTCACATATCTCAAGCATCCCTCTTAGGTACTCTGACAAGCTGATGCGCCACAGCACCATTATCCAGAATGAGAACCGCTTGCTCCCATTTGAATCCTTGAATTCTAGGTAGAAGCTTGATCCAGACATAATAGTAGACTCCACATAGCCCGACACTGTATTGATGGTTCGTCGAGTCAGTTATATATACCAATGAGGATTGACGGGGCCAGCAACAACTTACATTCCAAGGGCAACCGCGCAATATGTTGCATACCAGAAGCTCACGTCGCCTCCATTTGCCCCGGTACTGGGCGGATACCAAGGCATCACAACCATATACAAGTTCGAGAGAATTGCAAACGCCACTGTAATGTGCCAGGCCTTGTATTCCGGTTCCGGGAGACTCAGCCGGGCACGACGAATTCGAGTGACCACCAGACCGATTGTGAGTAATGACCCAAAGAAACTTGATGCATAAACCCCAAGATCCACAACTATTCACTCCAATTAGCACAACGTCTTGTCAATTCTTCCATAGTACTCAAAGAGCATATCCGAAAAAGACAAAAACATACCGAAATTGAATGCATCACCAGCAGGCGGCGCCAGGATCATCACCACAGTAAACGCCCATTTCACAAAGTATGGACCGAGTGGTGTTCCAAATGGCCAAGTCGAAGTCCAAAATGTCGTGAACGGCAGCACACCTTGCCTTCCACACTCCCTCAGCATTCGAGACTGTCCCAGAAGTACAGCAAGCAGATTTCCAAAAGCGCTAACGCAGATGAGGAAGTTCAACGCCGAAGCCGCACCACCAGTTCCAAATACCTTTTCGAAAAAGACACCAGCGGCAACGACCTTCGACTCTAGGATTTCTTCCTTGGTCGCCGCGCTAAAATACGCAATGTTTGCCAGCATGTATAGCACTGCCGTCGCACCCAATGATAGCGGAGCACTCCACTTCAAGGTTTTGGTAGGATTCTAATGCGAGTTAGCAAAAGGATCTTGGCCATCATGCCAAGTACATACCCGGACTTCGTTGACGACATTGAAGGCATTCTCATAGCCCGCAAAAGAGAACCAGACCTTGGTCAATGCATTGGTTGCTCCGTAGGCTGTCGCAGCACCAGTACCCTCAAATGCATTCCTAAAATTTGCTTTGGGGTCTTTCACTGAGGTATGACCTCCAAGAACTACCAAGCCAGTTATCGCAATGCTGAGTATGAGTTAGTTTTGCTGGTTGAAAAGATATACCCCGTCATTACATTGCGGATCAACACGTACAATATCAATGTCACCAGCTTGACCAGCCCAATGGCATTTGCGACTCTTAGAGACCATCTAGTATGAAATGCGAGAACTGTGGCAGAATTATCAGAGCGCATCACACAATACGAATAATTCCTACTCACCCAGAACGGCGACAGTATAGCAAGCGATAGCGACGCCTTTCAATTTCCATGGCGTAAAATCAGAGTCTGCGAGTTTGAAAAGATACTGTGCCAGCACTATAGAAAGATTAGCATATCTTCACTTCATCATAGACCAGTGCTATAATCATACCAACGGCATTACTGCTGCTAAACGAAAAAAGCACCATCTGCATCGCAAAGACCGTAGGGAAGAAGTACTTGGGTCGGGGATAAGACTGTTCCAAGTAGACAACCTCGGAACCGGACCGACTAGGGAAACACGATGCAAATTCCATGTAGACCGATAGGGAGCTCGATGCCATCAGATAGCCAATGACCCAATATATCAACGATAGACCAACGGAGCCGGCACCTTTGAGGACGGTCGATGCTGTTTTACGTGAGTATATTTCCAAAGAATGGAGAGAAGATTGAACTGTACTTACGTGTTGAAAAAACTCCCGTTCCAATCATCTTACTCAAATTCAAGAAAACCACAGTAATCCAACCGACCGAGTACCCCAGCGGAGAATTAACCTCAACGGGCGCTCCCGTTGCTTCCTGGTATGTGGCCTTGGAGGTGTTTCCACCCACCTCGGTGGTATATTTCAGACTATCATTGTCGCTGCTGTCATATTGGGGGGGCGCCTCGGTATACTCCCGTACGGGAGACGGAAGACCCATTTTAGCTGGCGGGATAGAAGGATGAGCAGAAGGTAATTATTTGTTACACACATGGCGAGACATCAGATATACATATAATCTTTTTCACCTCGGGCCCTCCACAATAACTTGGCCATGATCAGGGGTGTGACAAGCCTCATCGGGGACTACAATGATGTGATCAGACGGAATGGCCGGGAATTCTGACCCTTATGGCGTTCACGTTAAATTCTATAGCTTTAGCATGGCTTGGGTGCACGCTCTAATCTTACTTTTGAGTTGTGGATACTAGCTTCCAGCGCGGATGGCGATGATAATATCGCTAGGTTGCAATGAGAAAGCCGAGGAATAATTTGCGACCAGTTAGAACCTTGATAACATATAACTCTGTCAATGGCCAAGTCAATGGCCAAGGTCTTGTGTGTTCAAAGCGACACGGCAGGTACTATGGCGCAATACTTTGCAACAGAGCATGAGGATGAGGTGATGGAAAATCAATGAGGGGTTGGGAATTATTGTCAGCTCTGCTGATACATTTGGATAAAACACAACACACCATGGGTAGGCTGAAGAATCTAGCTAGCAAGGTATCTGTGGCAAATGATGAATCCCACAGAGAGCCGAGTCTACCTTGGAAAATGAAGTTTGCAAAAAGTACGATACCAACAACTTTCCGCTCAAGATCTATCGTTCTGACGGAACATAAAGCGACATTTCAATTGTTTCAAGGCCATAAGGACCTCCACTAGCTTGCCTGTTCTATCTTGATCCCCATTTCTCTGGTCTTCGTGGATGTGCCACAACTATCAAGTTTCCCATAAGGGGCGACTTCCCCAGGAAGTGGGCGTAGATCTCATCTCAAATCCGATCCTTGCCACATTCACAAGCTGGCTGTGCTTCAAATTTGGAGGGTTGATACGCTTTCCATCAACCTTCAGGCTCCTAATATACGGCTTCGTGGGTGCCCCCGGAGCCCTAATTTCAAGCCTCCTCTCTCTGTCATTGGCGGCTCGTCCACCAGTGCTTGCTCCACTGGGAAATTGGATAGACACTTCCTCGAAGAACGGTGTGCCGACAATATACTCATCACTAGCAGGGTTGACGGGATAGAATCCCAATGCGGAGAAGACATACCAAGCACTCATCTGTCCCAATCCCCCACTGGTCGTATTGTAGTTGGCCCAAGCAATGTCCCTTATTGTCTCAGCTGCTTGGTTGGGATAACCAAGAGCAGACTAGAGATAGGGTACATGATGACTTGGCTCGTTGGTATGGTCGTTGTGACCACCCTGGAAATGCGCATCCAATTTATCGCAGAAGGCTTGACGGCCATTGAAAAGCCTAGCTAGCCCTTTCATGTCATGCATCACGTCAAACGTGTAGACATAGTCATCACCTTCGGTCCATCCAAAGCTGTTATTAGCCCAAGTCCCGTTCGCGTTGCGCGCTTGCATAAATTGAGTCTTGTTATTCCAAAGATACGCGAAGTTCCCGCTTCTGTTCTTGAGGGCTTGCACGGTGGCGTCGTCCTCTCCCGAATGGGCAGCAACAACCGAACAGGCGTAATCATTGAATGCGTAGTCCAATGTGCGGCTACCAGCCTCAGGCCAGTCGTCATTGTACACCCAGCCTTGCTTCATGTATGATGTGAGACCAGGGCGGGCTTCATATGAAATGCCGGGCTCGCGATCATAGTACAGGGTATCAGTATCGTGATCAGATGGGGTGTATGCATTCTTCTTGACAGCTTTCCAAGCCTTGCTAATATCAAAGTCCCCAAATTCTCGCTCTTGGGCGTTGGCAAGGACCACACCAGCATTCGTCGCGATCATGATAGTTGTCGCGACCTAGTTGGCCCACATTGGAAGTCAACTGGACCACTCGAAAATGCAAAGCAACGAGCGCATCATGCTATTGGCACGTTCCGGCGCCAATATTGTCAGGAGAGAGTGCTCGGCTCTGTATGTATCCCAGATTGACCAAGATTGGTAGTATGAGTCGTGCTCTGTATGGACACTATCAGTACAGCCCGAGTAGAAAACATGTACCATCATGCTTTGATGTTGGCTCTGAAAAGTTGGTTGGATACTGGAGTACAGGGAACAAGCCCGTATATTAGATAGTGCGAGGGTCATTATCCGGATGAGTCTTGTTAAAATCGCCTCTAAGCCCCCTTGTGTCAAGCGCCCACTATGTGGAAATCGCATCCATTGGACTCTGCAACAGAGATGTAAAGGGCGTAAATTAAAGTGATATTTGTTATGGTTAGACTATTCCCATATGAAGTTAAAATGACGTGAGGCATTTTAGTTTTGACTTTCCAAATCTCCCTCCTTAGCAGTTTTGCCTGTGTTGCAATATTCCTGCTTGACTCTGGCTATCGCGCGGTCACGGTACTCGGTTTTCGCCTCTTCCGTCAAATTTTCGAATGCCTCCAGGCCCCCAGGAGTGACCGCTTGAATGACAGCACTCCCATCATAAAACAAAAGTCGTCATTTTTCAGTACCATCTTGAGTTGATTCAACCAAAAAGACTTTGCAGACCCAGGGATGCCATACAGACCAATGATGACTGGCTTGGGCCATTCGCTAGGCTCAACTTAAATGGATGGTGCCTGGACGAGCTGAGAATGGTCATCGTCGTACATCATTTTGTAGGGTTCCATGGTGGATATCAAATGTGTGACGAGCAGGAGACAGGGTTGACATTTAGGTCTTCAACGGGAAAATAGTGCTACTTGATGAGGAAGGTCAACGCAAACTAGGGTTTTTTCAGGAATCTTTGATCATAAAGACCTTTTCTGATGTAACATCAAGCCCGAACCTGCTATCTAGAGGCAAGGCAAACAAAGGTAGTCAATCAACATGCAGAGAGTGTCACATAATCCGGGCAGCAAACAGGTCATCACACCATTTACTATCCCGAGATCATAACTTGTTGTTTATGGAAATAGCGGCCAGATCCGCCTAAGACGACGGCTAACTCGCTGAAAGTGCTTTTGATCAATCTCATGGCGGGAAGCAACTTCAGTGAGTTTGTGATCTTTGCTTGGGTTCACCACCTCATGGACAAGGTTCCAGTGCCGGGCATTACAGAAAAGGGCGGCCACTCTAAAGAAGGACCATCTTGACGTTTACTTTGCCAACATGTACATATAGATCGGAGTGGAGTGAAGACCGGACAAGCAAGAAGGATTCCGTGTTGGAAACCCATCGTATTCAGCCCGGGTGATTGAGAAAAGAACATCTGAAGTCTCACTGAGCTTTTGCCAACTAGTCTCTGCCAGTTGACGTTCAGATAGTTCCTCTCGAAGCCGGGCTCGATGCCACGAGAAGTAGGACTGCCGCGGCAGATTCAACATCTGAAACCACAGTCGTAATGCTGTACGTCTCAGAGAACCCATTCTTTCTTTTTATTTGATGCAAGGCTGAGCCTCAAACAGGACCAGTGGTTAAGACTGAATGGTTAGTGGATGGGTAAAGAGTACCTAGGTATTTTAAGACACGAGGCGTGTCATGTTAACATTCTATCAAACGCAGCTTCCTCAGAAGTTCACCATAACCTAGGACAGTTGGCAGGTACAACATGGGCAAATGATTTAATATCTTGTAGGAGTAATGTATCAAATTAATTCAGCTCTTGTGAATTTACCTGTGAAGAATACGGAGTGTCATTTTTATTTGATAGACGGTAGATGAAGGAGTAACCCTTCAGCCTAAATGGCCAAGACGCTAAAAATAGAACGCCCAGCCACATACGCCACAAAACAAGTGGCATGCGCGTTCCTATAGGGACGCGTGGATGATCTCCCTAACAGTTGACCATCAAATAAATTTGCACTTGCGTCTCATCAGTCTCAAAAGTCTGCATTTTTCTTCTCGATTTTCTGAGCTTATTTATCGCTATGCCAGCCCTATATGCAGCGCTAGCCCACAGCGTGGAAACGGCCCCGCACCAACTGGCCCGGCGTGGCTTGACTGTTAACCACACCCAAGCCGTCACCTTAGGGGTGATGGGAGCATATGTGGTGGTCATCGCATTACTATGGAATCTACCATATGTCCGCTGGGTTCTGTGGCCCTTCAAGGTAAATACTCCAAACCCCTTACCGATAGACTGCGACTAATCCCCTCGACAGATGCTGGTGATTGCCTTCCATGAATTCGGCCATGCGATTACTGCCTGCTGTACCGGTGGAAAGGTTAAGTCTATCTCGCTGGACCCGCACGAAGGTGGTGTCACTCACATGCAGGGCGGTATGAGTGCTATCACCCTGCCTGCTGGGTACCTGGGGTCATCGATTATCGGCGCTCTATTGATCTTCGCTGGATTTAATATTGTCGCCAGTAAGGTTGCCAGCATCATTCTCGGTGTCTGCTTCCTGCTGACCCTTTGGTGGGCACGGAGAGACTGGTTGACTATCGTGACTGTTCTTCTTGCGGTCGGGTTGTTGGTGGCTTGCTGGTTCATTGCCCATGGTGAAGCCTTGCGCTGGGTTGTGGTATGTCTGAGATTTTGATTCACCCTGTTGTCAACTTATACTAATCTGCTTTTCTCAACAGCTGTTTATTGGTGTCATGTCTGCTTTGTACAGTGTGTGGGATATTGTAAGTACTAGTTACACCCTCCTGATTTATGTTGCTAATAAGCTGTGCTCTAGTGCGACGATCTCATCCTTCGCAAAGTAAACAGTTCCGATGCCAGTGTCTTTGCAAAGAGGTACGGTGGATCTTCCCAGTGCTGGGGAGTCATCTGGTCTCTCATCTCTCTTGCTTTTATGGCTATTGGCATCATTGGTGGGATCGCAGCATTCCCCGAGTCATTCAGCGAACAACAGGACGATTCCAAACACTTTATCCCGACTCGCTAGTCTTGCAAGGTTGCTTTGGTGGACATTACAAACTGAAAATAATGATTTTATGAGATATGATAGCTTGACAGGATATATTCCCACATAGCTTAGGACTCCAGTTCCCAATTACTCTACTGATAATATTGGGAGTTTAATCACATGGACGCTTTGTTTTTATGAGCATTTATATTATTGTAGAAGGCCTTGTGCAGTACCAGATGAAGGGGCTTGTCATTGCTCAACGCTCAACAAGAGGTTCGTTCTTAGGTGACTATATCGACTCTAGCTACCGATCTATCAAGACAGCAACGCCTCTTTATCGGTGTTCCCACGTCGGTAAATTACACGTGTAATTTCTCTCGTGCGTGGGCATGTCAATGCCCCCAGTTAATCTTTGATCACTAGTCTCATCGTACCAGGCCACTCCTTTCCAAGGCAAACCGCGACATCAGTCGGGACATCTACGATCTTAATCGCAGTCCCCTTAAGCCTGTAGATTCCAGCAGTGTTAGAGGCTTAAGCTGGTGTAATTTTCTAACTTTAACATACATATCTTGCTCTTGTTGGCATGTAAAGCTGATTTTCCCACCAACGTCGTCGGCCTTTGTCACTTTTCCCTTCTGTATCACCGTGGTGATAATCGCTGGCTCGCCTTGTAACCCAGAACAGGTATAGATTGATTCTTCGCCCTCTTTGATGTCGGTGGGAAATATCAGGGTGTAGGCAAGTTCCTTGGCTTCTATCGTGCCGGAGTAGACGAGCATATTTTATCACAAAGTCACTTTACAATTGGAGGTTTAGCAACAGACACACCGTAGTAGATGTCAAAGTTACAGATATCGATCCTAATTCTTACGGTATGTAGTATAAAATGTAGAAATGGAAATGGGTTGTCTTTCAAAACGCCTACTGATCGAAATCAAGCGATATATATATATAGGCATCCCCTCTGGCCCGATAATTCCACACTGGTCATATAAATGGAGGGGAAATGCATAGACGCTTCTCCCTCGCACTGTATGCAAACCACTGGAGCTGAGCCCGACAGACAAAGTGATACTTCACCGCGAGTTGTAGATGCAAGATGACGATACTGAGCGTTGGGCGTTTCACCGCCAGTTGTTAAGCCTATTCATCTTATCACCCAATGTCGAGTTGCTCTATCAGTGAGAATAGGAAAGAGAGCATAACTAGGTATATGTTTTGCGAGACCTCTTGAATATAAATCGAGGGGATTGGCCAAGAACTACTCGCAGCTACCGATGCATTTGATTTTAAGGTTGAGAATAATACAGTTATATGCTGCTTATTGTCTATTGTACAAGTATGTGAAGAATAACCCCCGACGATTTATCGTGCATTCTCGGCCTCCAAAGCCTCCTCGTGCTGTAAAGCCATCTTGGCCATGACGTCCCGCGCCGCGACCTTAGCTTTCCGCTTCTCATTCATAGCAACCTCATCTCCCTCATCATCTGGACCGCCAGTTCGTTTTCCATTTGGAGACCCAGTATTACGCTTGCTCTTTTTGTTGGGTACTGGGTGGATCTCAGGAGGAGGCTTGGTGAATTCTTGTGACCTCTGCTGGCTCGCTTGGCTATCTTGGTCGTTGGTATCTGGCCCAAGGGATTGTGCACGCAAGCTGCGACGAGAGGTGCGACGTCGGACTGTGTTTGGTTGTCCGTTTGATTCGACATCCTCCTGTGTGCTAGAAGGAGCGGTACTAGGTGATTCTGTGGCACCGGGAAGGTTAGGGTGGCTAATTGATTTCCTCGGTCTGCCAGGCGGTCTTTTCTGAGGAACAGCTTGGGGCTGTGGAGGGGCTGTTTGAGGGTTATCTTCAGTCGGCGCACCTAGGCGCGGTCGTTTGGCTATGGTTTGTTGTATGTTGTAAGATTGTGTTTGGAGGGAGCTAGAGGGATTTCGAGGCTCTCGAGCAGGCATCTGCACCTCTAGGGAAGTCAGTTGCTCTTCTGCTAGTGGCCCATTGGTAATTGCAGGTTGGCGGTGGTCATTGAGAGGTATGCGCGAATTGGTCATCGGCGGATCTGATAGTGACATCTCATCCACCATGTCATCTTCGTCGAAGGAGTCTGCGATTGTCTGACTGCGATCGCCCGGGAATGCGTCAGGCCAGTTACGTTTCCGGCCCGCTTGGAGCAAGCCGGGGCTCCGAACTTCAGGGAGGGCAGCGTTCATGCTCATGATCGACAATGATTCTTGCTGGTGTGGTAGGGTCACCCCCATGTAGCGATTTTTCAGTTTCAGGGCCTCAATCTCCAACTTCAGTTTCTCGATCTCGTCAGACTTGGATTTGAGCTCTTTCAGCACCATAGCAATCATGTCAAAATCGTGCCCCTGAAGTACGGAACCTTCCCCCAGATTTCGCCCCGGTCCATTTAACTCGATTCGAAGTGCTGTAAATGAATGTTTGAGATCTGACATGGTGTCTTGGAGGTGGTTGACTGAGTTCGAAATCTGATCTATGCTTCGGCCCTGGTGGAGCATTTGCTTTTGCATGGATGGATCGAGGGTCGTGGGATCGGTGCAGCCAGCTGGCACCAGTGCACTGCCCTGGACGAGGTCGGGGTTTCGGCGCGGAGGTTCTTTCGGGGGGCAAATCAGTCGTTCGAGAGCCCCCTGTTTGAATACGGGCTGCACCGTTCGCATGGTAACAATCTCCCTAAAAGCGACTTTGGACATTTTCCAGAGAATATTCATCCTATAAACAGATTAGGCGTGACAAGCGCCAGTTTTTATTCACAGCCACTTACCCGTTATCAAGTGGACAAAGTACACCCATCCGTTGCTGACAGAGTTTACATGACACTTCCTGAATGACTCGGCCACGTAAAAGGGTCATATCCGATGTATGAGGGATTTGCTTCCGCTCCGAGGAAACGGCGATGCGATGGAGGTCAACACTGAGCCATGCTGTCGGGATTGAGTAGGCATTAGATAATTTGGCCCATTCGTTCTCCAGTGCAGCCAGTGAGCTGGAGCACCGAATACACTGACATAAAATGCCAGGCCGTGTGAGATGGGATAGATCCATCTTTGCGCGACCAGTTGTAAGCAGTCAGAGAGTAAGATTGTGCGGGCTTGAACCACTGCAGCGCATTGCCCGCAACCAAAGTGCTGAGTCAGCGGTCGAGGCCGCCCGTTGGATGCACTAGTCCTAATTAGGTTATCGATAAGGACTATATACAGTGGCGTCATAGCCCGAGCCATTAAGTCACACCCGTGGACATTATTATGCTCTTCTGATGGGTAGAACACAAGGCTTACATTGTACCTTGATTGGGATACATAGTATGCTTATCCCCCGATCACTAGTGTAACCTGTTGCATACGATGATTTCCATATCGCCCGGTCCGCAATGTAGCGGTATCTGTATCTGGATCACGTGTCGGCTCCCCTCTTTCCCCAACTCACTTAACGCATCTGCGCCTAATGTGACAAAACTCATGAATCGCTCCTTATATCTGATCCGTGGATCTTCCTCGGTGTTTCGATTAACACATCTGCAAGGACGCAAATTTTTCCCTCCCATCGCTATGGCCCAACTCTCAACTGATGCCATGGCTCATGCCTCGGCACTCACTGGCAACAGCGACAAGAAGCCCACCACTTGGCATGGCGCTGGAGCTGCTGAGTTTGACCTCCGAAGTATGACTCAATTAGGAAGAGGAAGAGGGAATTAACGCTGATCTAAGCCAGGCGATACAATGACGAAGCCTACACCGTCAATGCTCGAAGCGATCTGCCAAACAACTCTTCTGGACGATGTCTTCAATGAGGATCCAGTTACCAACGAGCTGCAAAGCTACGTCGCCGAGATTACCAATCATGAATCAAGTCTGTTGGTCCTTTCTGGTACAATGGGAAACCAGGTGGCCATTCGCTCGCATCTCGCGCAGCCACCCCATTCAGTGTTGTGTGATCATAGATCTCATATCATTTGTTATGAGGCTGGTGGTGTGAGCGCTTGGACTGGTGCTACCGTGAGCCCTGTTATCCCCAAAAATGGAGTTCATTTGACTTTGGAAGATATCCAAAAGCATGCAGTTCTTAGTGATAATATTCATTACTGCCCCACCAAATTGATCAGTTTGGAGAATACCCTCGATGGAATGATCATGCCGCTCACTGAGGCGAAGCGGATTGTGGAATGGGCTCACGTTAATGACATTAAAGTTCACTTGGATGGTGCCCGGTTGTGGGAGGCCGTCGTGGCCGGTGCTGGGAGCTTGCCTGAATATACAAGCCTCTTCGATAGCGTTAGTCTTTGCTTCTCGAAGGGCCTGGGGGCACCCATTGGAAGTATTATTGTCGGGTCCGAAGAGTTTATCAAGAAAGCGCGTTGGTTCCGCAAATCTATTGGCGGCGGTGCCCGACAGACGGGTGTGATTGCAGCTGCCGCTCGCGTTGCGCTCACTGAAACTTTTGGCACAGACCCTCAAGGCCAGACTGGAAAGCTTGCAGCAACGCATGAAAAGGCGAAGCGGGTAGCCGATCTCTGGACCAGTCGTGGTGGCAAGCTGCAGTACCCCCTGCACACCAATATGGTTTGGTTGGACCTCGAGGCATCAGGAGTGGGGCCAAATGACCTGGCAGAGATTGGACAGCAAAAAGGGCTAAGATTGATGGGTGGCCGCGTAGTGGTCCATTACCGTAAGTGTTTCCTTAATCTGCCTTGGGATTGATAATGCATGACTCAAAATCTGACCTGCCACAGAGGTATCGGACGAAGCAATCGCACGGCTGGAACAAGTGTTCGATGCGGCCCTGAAGGGTGATTTCAAACGGAGTGAAGATACTAGCAAGCCGTACGGAAGTAAATAGTTCGGAGTAAATAATATCAATTCTAACATAGATATAAAAGCCTTCATGATGTATCCATTGTGTCTTATGTACAATGTGTGTATTTCATAGATCTATCTTGGCACTAATTCCGGTCAGCCCCCGCTGTATCCCGCTTGACCAATCAACGCGCCTGTTGCCTGATGAGTAACGAGTTTACGCGCCTTAGGAACGCGTTATTGCCTCAGGAACCGAATCTCGATTGTTGCGGCTCCTTGGTCTTGTTCCTCGGACGACGACCTTCCAAGGAGTGCGATTTTGCTCTGTCCCGGCGTCCCCATTTTTATCTGTCTACTGCCTGAGTTTTACCCGCCGTGGACAGATTGATAGGGAACCCTTCAAGCTGTGTAAGTTCATTTTCAATCTCGAGTCCAGGCTAAACAAGCCTCTTCAAGTTTCCAAAAAACGTTTGCTAATTTCCAATGTAATTTTACAGACATACCTCCTGGTCGCTCCGAAACCGCTGAATCATAGTCCCCTCCTTAATTCAATCGTTGTGAATACAGAAACACCGTTGGGTACCTTCTCATTAAACGAGACCTTGGACGGTCCGGTATCCCTCCACTGGTTGACATCCTGAAACCGATAATCGAGCTCTATTCTTATGGCTTGGGGACAAGATCTGGATAATCTTACTTCCGTTTTACAGGCAACGTCGTAATCTGCGTTGATCAACACTGGGATTGAGGATAGCTGAAGAGGGACACCCCACTCTGCAAGGCATACGGTTCACATATCACCCATCCATTACCTATTTCACTCCTTGTGGTCATTGAGCAAAGCGTTCGTGACCACTCTGCCTACCAGGTGACAAATACCCTGGTGAATCTGTCATTGGTCCTAAAGCATCTCATTCGCCGTGCCCAAGTTTTGCCCGGGTGTGTGATTCATTGGCCCCAGTAC